TTGGACCATCCGGCTGTTGGTCTCGCCAAACCGCCGCACTTCCCTAGGTCCTCCACTCATTACACACTCGTGTATTTAACAACAACACGGCTGGTGTGAGAGGTTCATGGTTCAGTAACATCAGAGAAGGAGAAACAGCCGGCTGCTACCACTTTAACTTTAGGACAAACTACCAGAGTCCCAAAAAGAAAAGCACCTTTTGACAAAAGACGTTTGGACCTAGAAGACGGCGACTGGTGTTTAGCGCTATCTCGTATTCATTGGGAATGTAGGTTGTGGTATCCGGCGTGCGTGGCCCAGGGATGGTTGCTGACGGGAGGCGAATGTCGGAAACGTAGGATGTCCAAGGAAGACCCTGCCTTTCTCACCTCTGATTGGCTCTTACATTTATCAACACGTCCTTGGGCATCTTACGTTTCCAATATTCACTGACGGGAGGGGTGAAACCTGATTTATACTTCTCCATCTGCGTCGGTGCGGAGGCGCACAACGCCGTTATGCGTCGGCACAAGGGCTCTCCGACAGGCTCACAGAGGGTGACGGAGACATGCCCAAGACTTTAAACATCCGTCGAAAGTGACGGGGAATTGCTTTGCGACACTGTGCTGCCTGCGCTGAAGTTGGTATGCAAAAACCTTTCCGACGCTCCGTGTGTGTGTCTCCACTGTGGAGCTCACGGAGAAGAACAAATCAGGCTTGCGTGTTCCGTAACCGTGTTTGCTATTGCAGCTTTAATCAGCTGTATGCTCTTTATCAGGTGTGTTTGGACTAAGTGGTGACCCTAGGACCAGAGTTTGGCTCGTACGTTTGAGAGGGCTGTCCAAACTTTTCAAGATTAGGACCAAAATGGTCAACAGTCCTCGTTGTCCTCAAAACTGTAATTTATGTCATTTAAAAAATGAAAAACTTAATATGTAGTGCTTTTTACTAATGTTTACTCTTCTAAATAAGTCAGAAATGTGCACTTTGGTGAAACTCTGAACATAAAATTATGTATCAATCTATGTATCAATCAATCAATCAAATGTATTTCTAAAGCGCTTTTCAAACAAAGTGTGATTCAAAGTGCTTTACAAAATGACCCCAGATTCCCATAACAGGTTAAAAACAGTAACAAACATATGCACGCACACACACACACAAGTAAAAATTATATTAGGCTTAGTCCAGATGAGCCAAGTAAGGTAACGCAAGGAAACGCCATCAGAGGAGCCGTCTGTCCCGGCAGCATCAGGTCTTCCACACTAAGTCAGGGCGCTCAGTGGAGGGGGAGCATAGACCCCCACCTATAGAGCGCCCAGGAAGCTACAGTCGACCACCGCTCCCGGGGCAGAGGGCCCCTACAGATGAAATACTGGATTAAAATGAGTAAAAATGTAATAAAAGAGCTAATATAAATGACAAAAATTAGAAAATAAGTAATAAATAAAATGATATAGACAGTAAAATAATAATTTAAATAATAAAACTGCTAAAATATAATCATATAGAACATGCAAAGCAAGTAATAAAATATAATCATGTAAAACACATCGCCACTTCTATAGACTCACAAAACCACTCCCGAGTGGCACAGATGGCCCCGGGCCACACTTTGGACTTGCCTGATCTAAGATCTTGTGAGATCCACCAGTGCTGAGAGATCCTCTTGAAGGTGACTCAGAGACTAAACTTCATGTTTATAAATCAGACCCATTGTTGGCTAGCTGTGGCGGCCATCTTTACTCTCTTTGTCTCTGAACGTGAATGGGTTGTTGCTCCTGCGGTTTATTTTTAGGTGCATTTTTTAAACGTGTCCAACCTTTTAAAAGGTCTTTAGTTGTTGTTTCTGTTGGCGTTGATGAAGCCAAGACGCTGGAAGAGCCTCCTGTCCTTGGGCCGTCTCCTCTGCTCCGTGTCCCCTGATCTGAACAAGTCAAATGTCTGAAGAGATGTATTGAAGTATTCCTGCACGTTCTGCACGACGGATATGTCATGTGACATGGTGCCTTGGAGCGCCCATCACAGATAAAATGACAGATGCTGTTTTTTGCCTCATGGATCTTTCTTGGTTGGTTTTGCGCTCTCTTATTTTTTTGTGCTCTGCCCTGCTGTCTCGGTGACTCCTGCTCATTCGTTTCTCTTCCTGTCATCTGCTGTGACCTCACAGAGCTTTCTTATTCAGAACAGAAACTCAGACCTGGTTTCTCCTAATAGCTGTGTGTCGTCCAGCTTAGAGATGCCATGTTTGGTGTTTTGAGTGAATTTGCGGATAATCTTTAACCTTGCTGCCACGGAAGCTTCCTCTTGTCCCTGAGGGGTGTGGTGTATCCTGGCAGCCATGTTCTGGTCAAGGCACCGCCCCAGTACCGACTGACCGCCGGCGGGGCAGAGGCCGCCCATCTGTCCAGGTGGACGGATGGCTTTGATTGGTAACAATGTCATCGGCCTTGCTTGTGAGTGGCAGTAATTGGCATGGCAGCAGGCAGGCCCATCTTTCACTTGTGGTCAGCTCTGATTGGCCTGATTAGGCCTGGGTAGCTCCCCAGAGTGAGGAGTCTGGTGTGCCCCGGGGCGCCGATGAGCTGGCCGTGGCCGCTCGTCCCCCAACCAGCAGCAGAAGCTGATACATGTTGTTTAAGGACGTTGGCAGGAACGGTGGCCTGACTAGCCTCACTTGTCATCTCGTATCCAGGGGGTCAGAGGGTTTACTCAGGGAAATTTGAGACGCGGCATCGTCATACTGTTCACGCACATGAGCGGGCGGCCGCTGCAGGCTTTTGGTTCGGTTCTTGCAAATTCAAACCCGTCATATGTTTGCAATTAAGGCTTTGTGTGTGCAGCGTGTTTACAGAGGGGTGCAATCAATGTAATTGTGAGAGGGTGTTCCTGGCTGTAGTGCTCCTCTGAGCCTGGGTTCAAGCGGCCACTTGCTGGTTTCCCTCCCAGTGTTTCTCGTTTCCAAATGTAAATGCACCCCTTGATTTGTATCAACCTCTGTATACACTCCCCTTTTTATCATCCCTGTTTTCTCTGGATCAAATACAAACAACGGGGGCTCTGTCTCAGACTGGAACGTCTGCTCAGATCCGTGTCAGCAGCTCTGTTTATGTAGAGCATAAATCCGTTCATGTCCCTGACGTTGTAAAGAGCCGTGAAACAAACATAAGTTAAGGGCGCAGGGTTTCTTCAAGGAATGCTTTTTGCCCACCGCCTTTCATGTCACAGTTGTAAAGGAAGATCTTCTTATGTTGAGAAATGTTGGAGTTTAGAGGCAAATATTGAGAATGTTTGTCATGCACGGTCTGTTAGGCATCGGAGTGTGTGTTTCAGGGGAATCCCTCCAAGTTTCAGCTTTAAGGAGACATATAAAAACTCTGTGGTCTATACAAGCATGTTAATAAAGTTCAGTACCCTCCAGAATGAGCCGTTTCAGGGCTCCGTCACGTTAAGAAACAAGCTGTTGCTTGCCACGCCCTCCCACCCCTGATTGGCTGCTATGAGGAGAGGAGTTTGGAAATTTGAGGAGGGCTTGAAGTAAAGCTGCTACTCCTCTAGCCTAGAGAGGTGAGGGGAGGTTGCTAGTGCTAATAGCCAGTGCAAAATTTTACAAACAAGTTAATTCAGTTCTGGGCATCCACCGGGTCAGGGATGAGGTCCTGCCCCAAGTGGAGGAGTTCAAGTATCTCAGGGTCTTGTTGACGAGTGAGGGAAAACTGGAGCGTGAGATTGACAGGCGGATTGGTGCTGCGTCGGCAGTGATGCGGGCGTTGTACGGATCTGTCGTGGTGAAGAGAGAGCTGAGCTGGAAGGAAAAGCTCTCGTTTTACCGGTCGATCTACGTTCCTACCCTCACCTATGGTCACGAGCTTTGGGCAGTGACCGAAAGAACAAGAGTGCGGATAAGTGTGGTAGAAATAAATCCGCAGGGTGGCTGGGGTCTCCCGTAAAGGTAGTGTGAGAAGCTCGGTCATCCGGGAGGGGCTCGGAGTAGATCCGCTGCTCCTCCCCATTAAAAGAAGCCAGTTGAGGTGGCTCTGTCATCTGATTAGGATGCCTCCCTGATGAGGTTTTCTGGACACGTCCAACTGGGAGAAGACCTAAACGAAGACCCAGGAGATGCTGGAGGGACTGTGTCTCTCAGTCATGGATGGATGGTTAATTCAGTTAATTTAAATAACAACAAGAGTCGTCTCGAATCACTTTACAAAGAAAACATTCAGATTGAACCTGCTTTTTACAGCATTGAGTTCTATTCATTGTGCCAGTTAGTTAAAAGTTTTCTATTTAAGGAAGCCCAGCAGAATGCATCGAGTCACTGACTTGTTTTGTCAGAGACTTTACAGCAATTCCCACAATAAGCAAGCATGTAGCGATACAGCAATTCCCATAATAAGCAAGCATGTAGCGACAGTGGAGAGGAAAACTCCCCTCGAACAAGAAGAAACCAACAGAACCTGGCTAAGTATGAGCAGCCATCTGCCACAACTGACTGGGGAATTTAGCATATTAGCATTAGCTAAGATGAGACTTTACATCAATCCCCATTCTACGTAAGCATGTAGCGACAGTAGGGAGGAAAACTTCCCTTTAACAGGAAGAAAAAACTTGATGTGACCAAACCATCCACCTCACCTGTAGCCTTTAGATGTGGACCATGACCCAAACAACAAGACCCTGCAGACGAACGGACATCAGTCAGACATCGGATTGGGATGCCTCCAACCGGATGGTTTTCCAGACTCATCCAACTTGGGAGGAGAACCCAGAACCCTAAGGTCTAGCTGGTCCAGGTGTACCTAGAGAAGACGTTGTCTGGGCTTCTGGTGTCTCCACAACCCGACCTATAAAATTAGAGCCATTCTTATGTTGGCTACGGCGGCCATCTTGAATCGACTTTACCTTAAAGGTTTAGAAGTTATTGCTGAACATGTACAGATAAACTCCAAGTTTCGTTGAAGTCCGGCTGTTGATTTGATATTTTGTTGAAAACTCCCTCTCTCTCCCTCTCTCATCCCCAGGTTCCCAGCAGCGCAGCGGGTTCTCCGGCTGGCTCCTCCTCCCTCACCTCCTCTTCCCGTCAGTACGCACGGCAGCGCATCACTCGTGTCAACCTCAGGGACCTCATATTCTACATGGAGCAGGAGAGAGAGACCGCCCACTCGCTCCTCCTCTACCGAGCCCTGCTCAAGTAGCCTCCGCTCCGCTCGGCGCCCTCCTCCTCTCCAGCCACGTGCCTTCTGATTAGGTTTATGCTCGGTGTCTTCATATGTCCTGTAGTGAAGTTTGATGTCGTTTTTGATAAGAACAAACACATTCGGGGATAAAATTCCAGGTGTTGGTCCCGGTGGTCCCCGTTGGCAGATTTCCCATTAAAGGCCATAATCTGTTTGTGTCGGAGGTTTTAGGCCCACGGACCGACTCTAAACTTGCTCCGAGTGAGTTTAACAGGTCACGTTAGTGACATAGAACCTAAACTCGATGATGCGATCGTTGATTTGCCGAACAAAGTTTGACAGATGTTGTCTCGCTACACTTGATACGCCATTGAAGTCACTTAGCAGAGTTATCGTGCGTTTCCTCGCCGTCTGTGTAAATAGTTCATCTGAATTATTTTGCAGCATGTATATTTTATCATGAACAATCTTTGCAAGAAAACTAGCGTTTTTTCCTCCGAGCAGACGGGATGATTTTGTAAAAATGGCTCTGAAGGCGTCTGACTTAGTTGCTTTTATTATGTAGAGTTGTAATACTTCAGGACCCCCCCACCCACCTACCCACCCACCCACTCTGATAAGTCCCCCCCCCCCCCCCCCCACCACCACCTGTTCTGAGTAAGTATTCTTTTAACTCATTCGCTGCCAGCGTTTCTCACCGTTTTTACTGTTGTTTAAAGGGGCATTATGGAAGTTTGACAGCCAAAACATGTATAGAAATAATAAATGTCTTCTTCATACATTCTCCTGCAATGCCCTGGTCCTGTAGAATGAGCCCTGGCATTTTTACTGTGATTGCCTGTTTTTCTGTAAAATCACAGAAAAAGAGAGATGCTCGGGTCGAGCAGGCTGCTTCATGCGCGTTCACGCTCAGGCATCGCCCGTAGCATTTGCTATCCGTAGCTTTAGCAGCAGAGAGAGAGGCAGTGCCACTTTGTCGCTGTTCCTAACGCCTAGTGACAAAGCTAGCTACATTTCTGAGGACCCTTAGCTACTTTCTGTAGAACTTTCTTCTAGATATTTCCTGCAAATTAGCAACAAAATAGCCATTTTCACTCCGAACTGTTCTTTGAACGTTGTTTCAGCTGTCATCAAGGATATAAATGTTACAGATACAGATCATGTCACTGGCGCTATAGCTCACCTGGTAAGATGTCTGACTCTCGTGCAGAAGACCCGGGTTCGAATCTGGATGTTACTGTAGTTCATTTAGAGTTTCTTTTTTACATTAATGGTATATTTTTTTACAGTAAGATGCCCAAACTTTTATTTGAGACTCGCCGAACGGCATTGAATTCACAGATAAAAAAGATGTGGGTTCAACTTTCATTTTGGAGCAATTTTTCAAGCAAGGGAAGGGAATGATCTGAGCATGCAGGAGGACTGACCCATCATAAACCTTTGTCGGCTGTGCTGAAGAGAAAGGTACAGAACCAAATTAATTAATTAATTAGCTGCAAGTTCTTCTGTCCTCTGTCCTCCGGGCCACACACACACACACACACACACGGGACTGTCGCAGCTGTTATTTTTGTTAAGGAGTGTGCACGTACAGCATGCGCGCCTCGTGCATGAGCCTACTATTGAAGCTGCCGTTAGGCTTTTGGCCTGAGGGGGCAATCGCGAGCATAAAAATTCCAAACTCCGTAAAGTCCCTTTAAGAGTGACAGAACGTTGCGCGCTAGGATGATGTCGACGCCAAAACAACCAAAACAAAGCGGACACTCACCTCTTACATCAGGAAGAATCTGTGCGTTTCGAGCGCTATCCGTTCTTTCATAATCCGTTGTTGAATTGTGATCGGCAGAAGCTTTTCCGGTTCGCTCCCCACTTTTTTTACAACAGCGGCCCAAAACGATCTCCTAACACTTGGATGTTCTGCTTCCTGATCACGTGACATGACACACGCAGATGACGGATGATCGGCTTTAGAGCTGAGATGTTTGTTCTCACGGTGCGGGGGCTCGTCCGACACCCACACAGTAAAAAAAATGCAAATGACGACTTTAGTCGTCATTGGCAGTGAATGGGTTAAACATTTAAAAATATGTTTTATGAACCAGTTGTGTTTACTTCCTGTCAGAACATCTGATGAGTTTACGCCCGCTCACCTAAACGTTCGGGACGACTGACGCCACGTTTCCACCTGCAGCACTTATGTTTTTGTCTTTTGACAAAAAACGAATCGATGAAAACTGTAAAATAACTTGTCACAAAAGAAGGAAGCGCTTAGATCATTCCACCTTAAAAAGTGATTTTTATTCTGACACTAATTTATTTTTAAAGTTTGTTTTTCTCCAAATCATGGATGTATTGTCGTTTTGTTCATGTTTTTATATATTTAACTGAATTTTTTGGCCTCTATGCAGCTTTTTCTTCCCATGTTGACTTTATTTACACTCGGGGTGGGCATTTGAAACAAAGCCGAGCAGCACTTTTCGTATCCGTTTTACCCAACAGCTGAGAGCTGTTGCTGTATTATAGCAAACAAACAAAAACTTTTACGCAGAAAATGCTTTTGCATTTAAAAAATAGACATTTTTTTTCTGGGTTCGGCTCTTAGGCTTAACGCGTTTTCGTGTTTTAGAAACAAGCACAACACTACCTGTTTCGGTGATTTTATTAACGGTTTCTATGGTTTCCGGCGGCGTCACAGGAGGATATTTTTTACGAATTTTACAGCTTTCTATTCAAATCGGTAGGACGGTAACTCCTCCCACAAACAAACGGGGAAACATCACCATGTGCAGATTTGTAAATATTGTTTACAAAACTATGTGTTTATTAGAACCACAGTATTTTTGGTAAACTTGTACATATCTTGAAAATTTTCTGTTTGTGTGAAAAAAAAAAACAATACAAAACTTTGGTATTTGTACTTCTTTTGTGAAGGAATAAATGAGCTGTTTACTAAACCAAACCAACGACGTCTTTTCTTCTCGACATTGAAGGTCGTAGTCAGAATTCTTACGTTGGTTCGAACATCCAGTGTGAAGAATAAACTACAGAGAAGTCGTTTTTGCTGAAGAATGATTTGGAGAAGCTTATATGTGCATTTTTTACTTCTCGCTTAGACTATTGCAACAGTCTTAATTTTTGTTCTTAATAGGGAGCCGTTAACGGGCTGATCCCATTTGAAACGTGTCTTGATTTCACACATGATGTCTGAACGTTAGACACGTTCTGATGCTAAGAAAGCGCTTGTTTTCAAACGGCAGCAAACGCTATTTTTGGTTTTGTGTGAAAAGTCGTCCAGGACTACAAATGCTCGTCTCGCCAAATTGACGTCATCCAGACACGGGGAAGAGGAGATTAGTTTAGCGAGCTTCCAATTATTTTTCCAGGACGACAGAAGGAGCGTGAAACCACGATAAATCTGGTCACGTGTTTACTAGCAGCTGCGCTAGAGAAGAGATTCTGTGGTGATGTCACTTATAAAACGTCTGATTTATAGTTTTTTTTAAAGGTAATGCGGAGGATGATTTTGAATTTCAGGAAAGAACCGTCCTCATTACTTTTAGAAAAAATGTGCATGAAAGAGAACGCCCAGTTATCCTCGTGCATGCTCTGTTTACAAGTCACTGCCGGCCTTGCAGCGCTTCTCCTAGCAGTAATCTGAAATTATAGCATTCCGAACGTTAGCTTAGCTGTCGTATCACCTGACCTGAATGGCATTACATTAATCTCCAAGAACAAAGTAAGGAACCTTGGTGTTATCTTTGACCAGGACATGTCATTCAAATCCCAAGTTAAACAGGTTTTCAGGAATTCCTTTTTCCACCTTCGGAATATTGCTAAGATTAGAAGCATCCTTTCCAGTGATGCTGAAAAACTAGTTTATGCATTTATTACATCAAGACTGGATTACTGTAATTCATTACTCTCAGTAAGTCCACAGAATGTAGTTAAAAGTCTTCAGCTTGTCCAAAATGCTGCAGCTAGAGTTCTGATGAGAATTAAAAAGAGAGATCATATCTCTCCTGTCTTAGCTTCCCTGCAATGGCTGCATGTTAAATTCAGGATAGATTTTAAGATCCTCCTTCTCACATATAAAGCTCTTAATAATCAAGCTCCATCATACATCAGTGATCTGATTGTGTCATACGTTCCTAACCGAGCACTTCGCTCCCAGACTGCAGGTCTACTGGTGGTTCCCAGAATATCTAAAATTAGGATGGGAGGCAGATCTTTTAGCCATCAGGCTCCTCTCTTGTGGAACCAGCTCCCAGCTTTAGTCCGTGAGGCAGACACCTTGTCTACTTTTAAGACTAGGCTTAAAACATGTTTTATTTGATAGGGCCTATGGTTAAAATCTGATGTTAGCCTAGATCTGGACAAGTGGGGGAGTAGAGGGAGGTGGAGTGTACAGTCGGTAAAGACGGCTCTCCCTTGCCCTGCCTCCAACATGCCTCCATCTAAAAAGGCTAGATTATCCAGTTATCTCTGTAGTTGTGCTGCTATAGGCTTAGACTGCTGGAGGATACACTGACCACTTTTCACACTCTACTACTTTCTTCTACAGTCTGCTCTTTAACTGTACTATTTTCTGCTATTTCAGCTGTTAACTTTATTTTCTCTCTTAAGTGTTTTTCTCCCCAGAAGAAGCTACAACGATGTTCTGCTGAGCTGTGGTGGCCTCATGGAGGGGGCCATCGTCTAGCACACTGCTGCTAACCACTTAAACATTCTCTCTCTCCTGATAACTTTTTGCTTTCCTTGACGTTGGATGTGCTACTACTAGTTTACCCGTTTAGTTATAGATCCACTAGGATAAATACAATAAAGTTTATCTCTCACCAAATAGAATATTTACTAACAAATCACAATGTAACCATAGAAACACTACTTGGTATGTGTGTGTGTGTGTGTGTGCGTGCGTGCGTGCGTACGTGTGTGTCTGCTCTGTGTTCTCCATCCCCAGTGAGTCGTGGAGGATGGCTGCTTATACTGAGCCAGGATCCTCTGGTTTCTTCCTGTTAAAGGGAGTTTTCCTCTCCACTGTCGCTGCATGCTTGCTTAGTATGAGGATCGCTGTAACAACTCTGACACTAGTCAGTGACTCGATGCAATTTGCTGGGTTCCTTATATAGGAAACTTTTTACTGATTGGCTTAACCCTTTGGTGCATAATGGTCACTACAGTGGACAGGTACTCAAAATTGTTATTTATTTATTTTTACTATTAAGCACAGCTGTTGAAGACTTAATTGCATTTGAGCCCCTCCATTTGGACTTCAGTAAGCCAAGCCAACATTTTTCATGTTCAGAATGCACACTGTCCACTGAGGTGGACATGTAATAAATTATTTGTAAATTAAATATTACAAAAAATATGTAAATATGAAATTTGTTTAATTCACACCTAAAGATGAATGAAAAAAATTGTTAAAAAAATCATGGTTGAATATTTCATAATTCATGCATCAAAGGGTTAATGAACTGACCTGAATTGGAATGTTTATTATGTGAAGTGCCTTGAGACGACTCTTGTCGTGATTTGGCGCTTTATAAATAAAATTTAATTGAAAGAGTACAGACACAGTTGAAACACACATAATCATTTAAATGGAAGCAGCTTTTATAGCCCGATCAGGGACCTATGAGCCGACCGGAAGGGGAGGGGCCTCAGGCTCCCTATGACATAAGAAGGTAAATGAAAGGGACTCCTTAGGGTTAATCATGAAGAAACCGTAAGGAGAGGTGACATTATTTTTACTTTTTACTACATGCATTATCTAAACCCTGAATTTGTCCCATCTTGTTTCCACCCAAACCCGTTCAGGTCAAAGCCCGAGGAGGTTCCGAAACGGGTTTCTGTTGGGAGTCTGAAATGTGACTGCAGACACTCACGAGTCAGCTTGTGAGATTCTTCAGGTTTCCTGGGTTCAGTCAGAGTTCAGCCGAAGCACGCACACACACACACACACACACACAGAAATGTTCAAAGCTCACATCATTAGAAATGAAAACTTGCTTTTGTTTCCTAAAAGTGACGATCAGACACTCCAGTTTAACAGAACATCTTTTTATTATCGCAAAAATGCAAGAAAAGTCAAATGGAGACGCTGTAACTGAACACATGCCCTTTAATACCACAGTCTAATGCTTTTAAACACTTTAAATAATATACATTTGCACCTTTTTATACCCTTTGAAATCATTTAATGCATATTTACAGTATTTTTTTCTTTTAGACTTTTTTATGATGACGTCCCACAAAGTCCAGAGTTCTGATTATTCATTTACAGTAACTGTACAGGTGACCGGCTCAACACGGACCGCTGCTTCGTCAGAACAGGGTCGGCGTGAGGGAACATGTTAGGAGGTTCCTGTCCTGTCAGGTTTCGGGTGTGGGAACGCTGAGTCAAGACGGGGCGTCGGATTCCTGCAGTCTGGAGAAACTCCTGCCGAGATCCCACTTCCTGTTGGAAGTGTAAACGTTCTGGTTTAGGAACGTTTTACAGGTTCTGGGAAGTCCGTGGAGCACTTCGGTGACCCTTCCCTTTGAGGCCTTTGATGCCCCCCCCACTTTTTCCAAAGTGAAGTTTTGACCCCTGCACTTTTTACCATCCAAAAACAATATTACGCTATATTGAATTGACACTGGTTGAGCTCTAGGACCAAGCAGAAAACAAACGTTTGTGTTGAAGCCGGTTTCCCATTAGAGCATACTGTAAAGATCCCCCCCCCCCCCCCCCCCCCCCGTGTCCCCCCCACTTCTAAAGTGAAAATTACATCCATGCCCAAAAGCACCGAATCAGATTTGGTACCAGAACCTTTGTTCTATTGATGGTTTTTAATCTGGGACGGTAAACAGCTTTAAGTGCAAAGAAACAGCTGGAATCTCACTGGGCTGCGACTGGTTCTGATGGACCGGATCTTCCATCCCATCCGGAACTGCAGCCCCTTCCCAATTCATCTGATTGCAGGTTCAGGATCACACCCTCCCACCTCGTCAGGACAACCGGACCGCGTCATCTGCAACAAGCAGGGATGCAGTCGGACACTTCCTGGAACCTCCTGATTTAGTCCACTTAGTGAAAACATCACCGGCCTCCCGTGGTCCGACTGAACCGGCCGCAGCCCAGTGGGATTGTGGATCTGGAGACGTGCTGTTCAGTTTCTAACTCAGCCTAAAACGCATTCGGCCTGATTTTTCAATTTTCCAGAATCAGAAACCAAACTTGTGCCAAATCACGTTTTGAGCTCGCTTGAGAATCCAACCAGACGGCGGACATGTTTGAGAAGAAACGAGCAGGAAGAAAAAAACAAACATCTCCAGCTTTTTTCTTAATGTGTGCAACACATTTGATTATAAACAACGTTGAAGCATCCAGGTTTTCTTCCATTTCCCGTTAGAACAATGGGAGTTTTCCTGGCTCGGGATTCGCTGCCAGTCAGATTGCTTTAGCCACATAGCCTCCAGACACGAGGCTCTGCAGCTATTGCCAAGAAACCCTCCCTCTCAAGCTCTCCAAGCCTAATGAATACAACGTTCATACATCCTTCATTTGAGGAAAAGAGGAAAAAATAGAGACATTAAAAATAATCCTATTAATAATAATTGTTTACACCATGTCGTGATAAAAAACAGCAAAGGGAGCAGAAGAATCACCGTGAAAAAGAACAATCAGTTTAACGAATGAGTTGGGAGATTATCGCCGTCCTCGTAAACGTCCCGTCTTTCGTGGACCGGGACGTGGGCGGAGAGGTGGTTCTCCGGTCTGTGTGGGAATATCTAGTCCCAGACACTTTGGGTTTACTCACCACGAATCAGAATCTGCTTTGTTTGGTTCTACATTCCCCGTGGAGCAGGGTGGAGTCTCTGCTAATACTTGGGTGTGATAGCGGGGGAGGCCGATGGCGAGGAGACGGTGGCGTGAAGAGATGGAGGGGGTGTTGGAGAGGAGTCGGGTGTGCGGTCAGTCCCTCTCCCGGAGATCTTCAGTCCAGCGGTTCCTGTTTTATCCTGATCGGTGTGTTGATTGAGAGACTCCGCCGGTCCTCGCGACACAACACGTATTCGCTGAACTGGGACGAGTCCACGCCGCCGCCGCAGGACGCAGCTACGCTGAAGCCCTTCTGGAAAAGACGCTCCAGGACCTGCACAGAGGACGAAAGGACGTTAGCCATTCCAGAGCAGCCTCTGTTCGGAGAAATAGAAATCAGGATAGATGAGCTAACAGCTAGTCGAATCCCAAGTCGTCTTAAATGACTTTTATGCAACATTCATACCAAGTTTTACATGAATAACGATGTAATCGTCGCCATCAGCAGCTAAATGTAGCATCTAGAGGTCAGCAAGGTCGAGTCCTGCGCTTACGACAAGAACGACTTCATACTTCTGCCAAAACAGACAGTTTGTGGAATCTGAGTAAAGCTTTATTAAACAACATTACACGAACAAGAGATTAGTGCCATTTTAAAGGAGACATGACTTTTTGTCTTAAGTCACAAAAATTCTACGGTCAACACTAAACGTGTCCATAAAGTCATTCTAGACAGTTTCAGTACCTTCCAGAATGAGACGTTTAATGACTCACTTAAAAAAGCATGCTGTTGCCGGCCACGCCCACCCTCCCACGATTGGCTGCTATGAGCTGAGAAGCTCTGAGGGGCTTTGTGTAAAGCGGCCACTCCGCTAGCAGCAGCAAGAGGTGGTTCTAGGCCATTTCCCCTGCTTGTGACATCACAAACAGGGAATTTTTGAAACGGCTCGGTTTAGGCACAAAACTCCAGAAACCAAAAACTGACAGAAAACGGATGGAAAGGTTCATTTTTCCACATTTTGAGTTTCTAGAGGCAGTAAGGACCCAGATGGCGGCACAAGGGTGCAAAAGGTGAGATTTGCTAATATGTCCCTTCAAGACAACAGCGACACATTTTGGTGTCGTTTGTACTTGACTAGCCGTTAGCGTATCGGTCCAGAAGAATATAAACAAACTGAGGATGTTCAGGAAGCTCTCTAGAACGCGTAACAGGTGGGAAATGTGTTTATTAAAAGTTAAAAGAATACTCATGAAAGTTCAAATCATTTTAAAAAGGGTTTAATGTTTTTATGCTAAACATGATTTTAAAGTTAAAACAGCAAAAACAAAAGAGCGACAGAGACAAAGATCTGCTTCAGGAGTTTGACTCGCGACTCCTTTAGAGATGAATAAAGATTTGTGGACTTGATAACGTTGTGCTTGTGACTTTTACCTGAGCCGGTGCTGGACTTTTACTCTAAAGCTAAAATGTGTCACGAGGATTAGAATTAATTTGGGCTGCATGGTGGCGCAGTGGTTAGCACTGGTGCCTCGCAGCACGAAGGTTGCAGGATCGAAACTCGGCTGCGGCCTTTCTGCGTGGAGTTGCGTGTTCTCCCCATGCATGCGTGGGTTTCCTCCGGGTACTCTGGTTTCCCCCACAGATCACAACATGCCCTATAGGTTATAAATTGTAAGTGGCTTTGGATAAAAGCGTCTGCTAAATAAATAAACATAATTTCATGCATTCGGGTTAATTTTAACAAACTTTCCTTAAATCTGTTTATTTTCTACTTTAAATTAGTCGTGAGTTTTGTAAATAACCAATAAAACTGTTTATTAAAAGGCCTTCGACTTTTTCAAGGCTTCAAATTAATAATGGAAAAAATATTGATGCACAATAAATGATGTCAGATGAATCAGAGGGGTTGCGAAAAAACACAAACAGGTGTGTACGCATGGACGTAATTTTGGGGGGGGGCAACAGGGGGGACATGCCCCCCCCCCCCCCCACTTTTTCCAAAGTCAAGTTTTGACCCCTGCACTTTTTACCATCCAAGAACAATATTACGCTATATTAAACTGACACTGGTTGAGCTCTAGGACCAACCGTTTGTGTTGAAGCCGGTTTCCCATTAGAGCATACTGTAAAGATCCCCCCCCCCCCCCCCCCACTTCTAAAGTGAAAATCACGTCCAGTGTACAACACGATCATTTAGCACTCCTGTGATGTTTAGTAGGGTTTTGTTTCTTATTAACTCGGCTGAGCAGGAAAACCTCCAAAAACTCAGATTTATTCCTGCTTCTGCTCCAGTTCGCCAACTTTCTGGCTGTTGAAGCCGTTCCGAGACGACGGAGGAAGTTTTCAGCAAACAGACGTGAAGGATGCTGATGTAATCTCAGCTCAAGTGTTGAAGATGGTCATCAGTCACCGCGTGCAGCATGTGTCATCAACCCGGCTCCTCTGCACCCAATCACACAGACAGATAAAACCAGAGGGCATCCCAACATCACACCACCTCTGCAATATTCATGCCACTTGCTTTGGATTGAACCGAGGGGCCACGGGCTCGGAGGGAGAGCCGGCGCCGTGATTACTGCAGCTCCTAATTTGAGTAATGAGGCCGGGGTGAGAGGAGAGGTGAGGTACGTGAGCGAGGAGAAGCTCAACGTGCGGAGAATGAGGATGAGGATCGGGAGGTCGGCGGGAGGAGGACAAATTGTGGGAGCTGCGGGGTAGAAACAGGAGACGGGGATGCATGTTGGCCCTGAGGCCCGGGCACGGACACGCTCCGGTCCAAACCCTCAAACACGTGAACGGGAGCGGCTTTCCTCTCCCCGTCTGCGGTAAACCAAGTGGGATGTTGTTTTTTTCTTCCTCTTTTCGGAGGGCTTACATCTCTAACTCCCAGAGAGGAGTGTTTACTTATCCTCCTCTCCTCCTAATGGAGTGTGCAGCGTGCTGAAATGAAAGGTCTCGCCCAGAGCCAAGCCTTCCCGCCAGATCCAGAGTCAGAGATCACACAGAACTCCGTGTTCCTCCCGACACGCCTGCACGCACGGACACGCGTGAGCCCCGTCAGAGGCCGGATCCGGGCCTCGGAGTCCAAGGCCTGCAGCTGGACGGGACTAAAGCTAAAACCCGGATCAGGTCCCCGCCGTCCCTCCGTCCACATGACGGAGACAAACTGTCATCTGTGAGACGGAAGGAGCGGCAGACAGCTGATGGAGAGGACGGCTAATTAAGAGACCTGCCCGAGCATCAAATGCTCCCAAACCCATGACAGACGACGGAGGAGCCTAACGATTATGGAAATGATGTTACATCGCCGTCTTTGATCATTGCATCACGCTGCACCCCCCCATCTCCTAACACATGTGGGACGCCGTCACGTTCAGCCGTGCGTTTGGTCACAGAGGAGAAGGGCCCGATCAATACGGATCGTCTGGAAACACTTTAGGATGTTGTTATCGACGGCTGGAACGACTCAGAGACGCGGCGAGGATAAAAGGCCGTAAAAGTCGCTTTTGTCACAGAGAATCACAGCCGGGGGGGGGGGGTACACAGAATAATTAAACCGGATCTGAGAGACAGGCCTCTGATGTCCACAGGATGGCGTCCTGGATCCGATCCCCGCTGATGATGTAAAAGCTCGGTTCTGATCTGCGATCTGCCGCCGCTCAGATCTCCGATGATGTCGTTCCTGTTCAGGTTTAATTCCCAGCTTTCTTTTTCGGCGTGACTCGAGCTACGAGACCCGGCGAGCCGCATGCAGAGCAATCGGATCGACCCATTCGGAGCATGATGATTTCCATGAAATGGAATTATTGTTAATCAGTAGTTATTCCCTCTTGGGGTTTTGTTTCATGTCCACCGCTTTAACCCCCCCATCAGGACGGTTGCAGCTCTGAAAACAGAAAGGGGGACACGCCAAAGTTTGCTGCAGAACTTCCAACCTTTTTGTTCTTCCTGTGAGACCGGAGCAGATCCGCTTCATCTGCCGTCCCACGTCTATCCAGCTGAAAGAGCTGCCACTCGGCTGGGGGTCGCCATGGGAACGGGAGGGGGGAATATTAGCCACATTTCTCCAACTTCCCAGCAACGGCATGAAGACGGTGGGTGAGGCGGGAATCAAAGCGCAGAGACTGGAGGCTGGAAGCAGGAATGTCATGGAATATTGATGGCCACCATGGGGCAGAGGCACAGTCGCACCTCTCAGGAGGAGCCGCAAGGCTCCTGCTCCTCGTGGAGAAAAGTTCACAACCGATCGACACACGTGACACGCGGGGTGGGGGTGTGAGCCGGTGCTTCTCACCCAGCTTCTTCAGGACTAACAGGGATCTCTGGATGTGGAGCAAGCGAGGACGTTGCTCCGATGCTTTAAAAGTTTTCTTATAAAATTCCAAGACTTTTAGTTAAAAAAAACACGCAGAGTTAAAAGACAAATTAGTCGCTGTAATCTGGAAACGTTCCCAGCTGACGGTTAAAGAGCCCGGAAGGTGCGTCAGGTTTGGGAGGAGCTGGAAACACGAGTCCAGGGATAACGATACAGCCAGCCGATCTTTGGTGGGGGGTGTTTACGACATCCCGACGTTTTCCTGCTGATTTACACACTAAAGTGTCACTAAAAACAGCGGATGGACCAACGGACCAAGTAGTTAACATAAAACAGGTAAATAAAAAGAAACCTTGGACGAGTTTGAGCATTTACCAAGTAAAGGTTTTTCAGTCGCGTAAATATTTATTTAAAGAGCAAGTCACCCCCAAATCAACTTTTTTTCCTGATAAACTATATAAATGTGTGTCTAATCGTGCTGCAGACACGTGTCGTCAATAGTTTTGCACTTTAGTGCTTTTTATTTAAAATTTTAATTTTCTGCCTGAAACTGTCAGTGTTGTGCCGTTGTCAGGTAAAAACTCTGCACTGCATTTGAATTTAAATCTGCCACCGCTATTGGCTAAGAGGTACCCTAGAACGTTAGCTGGTACCATATGATGTCACAATGTCGTTGTGAGCCTGTGTGTGTGTGTGTATTTGTTAGCGGCTCCGCCCTCTCGGTCTGCTAGGCAACAGCATTTGTTGCATTTTTCAAACAGGAAGTGGGAGTGGAGTAATACTCTGGTAGGGGGTGACTTGCTCTTTAAATAAAATGTGGACATAGCCCTGGGATGCCCGTGGATGTGCCTGACTCTACCTGAAACTGGCCCTGATGAAGAGCTATGTCAGCCACCAGATACGTTCCTATTTTATACCAGAAAATCTTCACTGTTGCGTTCCATTCAAACAAGATCATAACTGATATTTCTGGAATTTTCTAATTTGGGGCCTTCTCAATAATTAAAGGCAAACATTTTCATATTTGTAAATCATGTTCTTGAGCCATGATGTGCTTACGTGACCCGTTACAGCGTTAATAACATGTCACTCAGATCCCTCTGTGGCCAGAATACCGCACTTGCAACTTCAGAGTGTCCGGACCAGTCTGTTAGTCGACACTAAAGGCAGACACGTGTGGCGAGGTGGAGAAACGAGGGCCCGGGCGGGATCCGATCCTCGTACACCTGAGTGAGAGTCACGCTCACTAACCAGTCAGCCAAAGGGACGTCCCCTTGGCCGAGTAGCCAGGGCGTCTGATCAGTCGGGATGCAGGACACTCACCCTGTCACAGGTGCTGGTTCTGGAGTCTGCATGTTTTAGACAAGAACACATCTGGTTTGTTTAATTTAGTGATGAACCACTCTTGTAGACATTAATGAAGGCTGGGAGACATTTCAACTGTAGATTAAGGTGTTAACAACACGAACACACAGCTAGGAGATAAGTTTCACTTTCAGCTTTATGAATTATAATGGACTGTAGGGGGAGCTAAAGCAAGCAAAAACTATCAAATGTGCCTTTCAGAAATCTGAATTGTACCAAATTAGTACAACTGATGCTTTTCAGAAGGTGGCATTTCTAGGCCGGGTCACATGACGCATCAAACAAATGATGGTGGAGCTAAATTTTCTGGTCACAGTTCAGTTGCTTTTTTATTTCTCCTCTGCAAACACATCCGCACCTAAAGAGAAGGAACATTTCTGGAAGTATTTGAAAATTTGCTCAAAAAAAAAAAACCAACAACCCACGACAGAACCTGCAGTTCTGAAAGCCTCCGGACCTTCATCATCATCAACATCATCAGTGTAGAAACACGTTCTAGCTGTGGAAGAATAGATGACTAATCTGGCAGAATGAGTCTGTAGGTTTAATCTGGAATCTGCTTCCTGTGGAGCTCCATGAGGAACCTCCTAACTTCAGCATTAATGGTTCCTCCCCTCCCCTCCTCTCCTCTCCTTTCCTCTTCTCCCCTCTTTCTCCTCTCTTCTCCCCTCCCTCTCTCCCCTCCTCTCCTCTCCTCTCCTCTCCTCTTCTCCCCTCCTCTCCTCTCCTTTCCTCTTCTCCCCTCTTTCTCCTCTCTTCTCCCCTCCCTCTCTCCTCTTCTCTTTCCCTCCTCCCCTCTCCTCTCCTTCCCTATTTCTCCTCCTCTTCTCTTCTCCTCTCTCCTCTCCTCTCTTTCCCTATTTCTCCTCCTCTTCTCTTCTCCTCTCTCCTCTCCTCTCTTTCCCTCCTCCCCTCTTTCTCCTTATTTCTCCTCCTCGTCTCCCCTCCCCTCTCCTCTCTTTCCCCCTCCCCTCTTTCTCCTTATTTCTCCTCTTCTCCCCTCTCCTCTCCTCCCCTCTTTCTCCTTATTTCTCCTCTTCTCCCCTCTCCTCTCCTCCCCTCTTTCTCCTTATTTCTCCTCCTCTCCTCCCCTCCCCTCTTCTCCCCTCTTTCTCCTTATTTCTCCTCTCCTCCCCTATTTCTCCTTATTTCTCATCCCCTCCCCTCTTTCTCCTTATTTCTCCTCCTCTCCTCTCCTCCCCTCTTTCTCCTTATTTCTCCTTATTTCTCCTCCCCTCCCCTCCCCTCTCCTAGGAGAGAGGCGCCTGGGCCTGACATCAGACAGGCTCATAGTCTCTCAGGTGAGGCGAGGATTACTTCATGGAAGGAGGCGAGGTGATGGGAACACCTCCCCGAGGAGCTCTGCTGAGGCGTTTGTGTGGCCTTGTCTGCTCTGACGGGCTTTGCTCTCTCCGATCAGCTCCTCCAGGATTGATGGAGTGGCAGCGGTGACGTGTAAGAGTGTGTTGCGCCGTGTTGCGTTCCCCGCCTGGGCAGCGGGGTGACGGTCTGCTGTCACGTTGATGAAGGACGGATTGGCTCTGGTCTGATCCGAGTGCTTCATCACGGTGATGAATGGAGCAGCTGGCCGGGCTCCAGCTCTGGGACGTGGGTGTGCACACCTCAACGACTCTCTGGCTAAATATTTTCCCTCCCGTTAACGCTCCTCGGCTCTGGATCTGCATCACAGAGCCGGTGGTTCGCATTATTCCTCAAATTCCACTCGTGGCTCAATGGACAATAATCAGCCTTGGTGGGGAGGTTTGATCTTACTTTCTCCTTCACTGATGCAGAAGAACTAAAGATTTGATAAATTTGCATTAAACAACAAAATAGCGATGGATTTTGCTTCCAGTTTATTTCCCAGATAGATGCAAAACGGTTGGATCGATCCTTGTTTACAAACTGTAATTACAGGCATCATAAAAGAGGATTCCTGGGATTATTTCAGCGGGACGGCGAGAAAAAACTGGATTAGACCAGAACTCTTTGTACTCTGAGAGGTTAAAATATCTCTGAGAGTAAAACTCTCTTTCTGAGTGTTCTCGCCCCGTGGACAGGGTGCGGTTCTGTGTTTGTTCCCCTGGGTCGGCGCCTGGGCCTGACATCAGACAGGCTCATTGTCTCTCAGGTGAGGCGAGGTGATGGGAACACCTCCTTTAGGGAGAACCAGCAGAATCTGCATCTCGTGTCCTGATCCACCGAGGCTCAGCGATCTGGGCCGGTCAGAACGTTCTGTGTCTCTAAAGGCTTTCAGAGTCAGAGGACTCCAAAGCGCTTTACACTACAACTGTCATTCATCCATTCACACGCTGGCGATCCTTTGGTCTTTTCACTTCATTTCCGAGCTCAAAAGTCGCGCTGAAGCGTCATTTTTCTGGCACACTGACAGCATTACCATATAAGGAGTGACGTAACATCTGACCAGGAAGCCACAGATGATGCTTTCGTGGCAGAAGCACACTTAAAATGGCTGAAATTGCCCTTTAACCCTCGAGGAGCCCCAGTCTGAGCCCAGCACTGCTCCTGGAGAAACACTGGAGGTCCAGCTCCTCCTGCTGATCTCAGCTCAGCAGCAGCTTAATACAAGCCCAATAGGATAAAGAGTCTGATGAGCTCACATCCTGGAACCAGTCTAAACACGAGGGTGGGGGGTGGGGGGGGGGGGTGTTGTGTTAGTTGATGCGGCCAATTAATTATATTGTAAGTCATTTAAAAATCTATAAAAGAAGTATAAACTGGTTTAGGCTGTTTGAGAAATTGTAAGTATGGTATTAAAAAATGCAATACGTGTATTCCAATGGCCCTGAGCGCCGTTCTGTTGGAGCCTTTTTAAAAAAGGAGCCGTGTCTCAAAAAGGAGTGAAGCCTAAATTATGCATTTCATTTCCCCTCTTTCCATTGCTCCTCTTCTCCTTTTTTTGTTTCTTGCAGGAAAACATGGCCGCAGTACACGCACGCTTTGTCCCGCTCGCTGTGCTCACCTCCCTGGAGGTGTGTGAGTGTGTGTGTGTGTGTGGGGGGGTGTGTCAGAGCGCACCAGCCCGCCTGCGAGAGGCGCTCTCTGGGTGCTGGAGGGGTGAAGGCTCCTCTGCGTGTTAGTCTGTTCATGGCTGCAGGCACCAAAGTGTGTTATATCGGGCCTGTGGTGTGAGACCGTTACACCCCCCCCCCCCCCCCACACACACACACACACACACACACCCTCCATCTTCCTGCTTCAGACCTCACCAGAAAACGACTCCTCCGAGGTTGTTTTCTAACATTTCACCTCCACGCTTCGCTGGTTAACGACAATTTTTATCTCCTCTGCATCAAAAACTCCGACATGAAGGGTCAAACATCGAGAGCCTGCAGAAGGTTTATGACCTCACGGATCTGCAGACGGACACGCGTCCTTCTGCGAGGAGGCCGCTGTCCATCAGTCACAGACCCTAACCAGCCAGACGGTGGCAGAAAACAGCCAACGTCGCTGAAAAGGACCTGTGTCACCCAGCAGAACGTCTCTGCATGAATACAGGAAACAAACCCAAGCTGGTTACCGTAACTCTCAGAAACTGAAGATGAAACATCTCTGAAACAAACCCAACAGCACGTGGACCGAATGGGGTGGAAGGAGCTAGCTAGCCGTTAGCTAACTCTAAACTCTGCCACTAGCGGAGTCATTTTTTATAACTTTTAGACATAAACACCTTTTTTAGAACCACATCCTTCAAATGTAGCTAAATCTCTGCCGTCGACGCATCATCCTACTGAGGGTTTCACCAAAACGCTTACAGTAACTTAATTTTTGCACTTTTTATGAAAAAATATATATATTTGCTTTCTTATTGTTAGTTTAATATTCTCACCAGACCCGTTCTGGATTCATTTTATCCTCCAACTTTGTGTATCTGCAGCCTGAACGGCTCCTCCAACACTCAAACTACAGAAATAACGCAGATTTCCCTGTTTTTATAAAAATGGAGACCGTCGACTAGGACTGGCTTCGTGTTTGATATAAGCGTTGCTTTCCATACTCTTGCTGTAGCGCCAGAACAGAAACGATCTACCATTAGATGTTACTGTGATTCCTTTGTATTAATAAGGAATAAGCACTCCAGCCACATCAGGTGACCTCGCCCGTGTGATGATGGAACCCTGTGGGTGTGCGGAGGCGAGTTACCTGGACGGAGTTGAGCCTGCAGTAGCCGTTGAGGGGGAAGCGGATGACGTGCGTTGGGTCCTGGTTCCAGCCAGCGTTGACGGAGTTACACATGACATCTCCAGTCTCGGGGAAGATCTCCTCTATGAGGACCTTCTCGCCGCTCAGGGCGATCCTCTCGCCAAGGTCGGGCGTGACCCGGACCACCAAGCAGTCGCAGGGCTGCGCCATCCTCCGCTGCTCGCGCTCCTGCTTCCAGCGCTCCAGCTCCTTGATCATGGGCGTCAGCTGGTAGTAGCGGGCCTCCTCGTAGAGCAGGTGGAAGTCCTGAGCAGACGGCCGAGAGCGGAGAGGAGAGCGGTGAGTTAACAGGAACAAGCACCGGTTAGGTCTGAACTCTGGATAAAGCATCTCAGGACTGTTTTGTCACTCCTCCACCAGTGGCCCTCTGTCGTTTGACCTTTCTACAGGAGTGAGAAAGCAGTTGGGCAGCACAGGTATGCATGGAGGAGCTAATAACTGACTGCAGTCATGGATCAGTGAACTACGACATCCTTTTGAAAGAATATCGTCCGATTTCCTTCTGTTAGAGAACCAAACCTTTGCTATAGGAGAGTATCATTACATCATGCGGTGATGTCAGCGGCGTCGGTGTTAAATGCGTATCTCAGCTGTTTGAATCGTGTTTCTGTGTAGAAGCTGGAGAGAGAGTCCTGAACACTCTGTTCAGAGAAAGAGCGAGGGACTGACAAGCTAACGGCTAGTCAGAGACCGAAGTGTGTGGCTGTGTCCAAAAACGTCCCAATCTTCATTCCAGCTTTCATTTCTCACTTATAGTGGGATTTGTCTTTAAAATGAATCAACCGGACAAGAAAATTCCCTCCGATGAATTTACCACGTGATTCTGTTCCTGTTTTAAGTTTCAAAGAGTTTTTAAATCTGCATGACTGATGCCGAGCTGGTTCCTCCTAATCCAAGTGACATCATGTTTCCCGTGTCTTCATGCACAACAAGCCCAATAGAGACGTTTTTATGCAAATCTAAAACAAATGAAAGCGATTTCTGTGAGTCTGTCGCCACCAAAAGCATCCAAACAGGTTAAAAACCACTAAAGTGTACCGTATTTTAACTGCGGTTCTGATTCATTTAGTGGTCTGGAGACATTTGTAAAGCTTTAAACGTGCATTTTTATTTAGCAATCATCTGTAAATCATCAGAAATGACATCTGGTCTTTTGTGCATATTTATGTATTTAGCAGACGCTTTTGTCCAAAGCGACTTACAGGTGATAATCAAGCCATCCGGCTGCCCTTGAGGCTAACAACAAACACCATTCAGTCAGTCAGGCAGCATAATCAATCACAGAGGGAAGCGAACACGGAGTGGGGACGGGTGCTGGGAGGGTCCTAGTTTAGAAGAGCCGAGTCTTCAGGAGTTTCTTGAAAATCAACATGGACTTTATTTAGACTTTGATTAAAGCAAAGAAATAAAAAGAGTAAAGTCAGTACAGCAGTAAAATCTTAAAGAGCAAGTCACCCCCAAATCAACTTTTTTCCTGATAAACTTTATAAATGTGTGTCTAATTGTGCTGCAGACACGTGTAGTCAGTAGTTTTGCACTTTAGTGCATTTTAGTTCATTTTCTGCCTAAAACGGTCAGTGTTGTGCCGTTGTCAGGTAAAAACTCTGCACTGCATTTAAATTTAAATGTCATCGCTATTGGCTAAGAGGTACCCTAGAAAGTTAGCTGGTACCATATGATGTCACAAAGTCGTTGTGAGCCTCTGTGTGTGTGTATTTGTCAGTGGCTCCGCCCTCTCGGTCTGCTAGGCAAAGCATTTGTTGCATTTTTCAAACAGGAAGTGGGAGTTGAGTTATACTCTGGTAGGGGGTGACTTGCTCTTTAATTTTTCTGACTAAATAATCCCATAACATGGAGGCTGCTGGAGATGAAAATGTTTACAAAATAACATCACATTAAGAATGCGGCTGATTTAAGATGGCAGCAACGTGAACTATGTTTCTCTAAACTGAGGCTGTTCAGGAATTATTTATAATTTTTGTTTTACACAAAAAACACTTAAAACGTCAAAAAGTTTCATTTTCTGATCATTTTTATTTAAATAAAAACAAATGCTAGTAAAATAAAGATAAGACCGCTCACAAAAGGACAAATAATAATAACAACAACAACAATAATGATAAGCTGTGAGGGCCAATGACCTGCAGGACAACACTCCCCATAAACGCCACGCCGCACCTCTCCTCCACCGTGGCTCTTCGCTCGGCTTTGCTAGCCTTTAGCATGTTTTAGCGAGCCGGCTCTCTGAGGGCCGTCGGTGGGGCTCCAGTGGAGTGGGATGGTGCATTCCTGTGTGCAGCAGATTGCCTGCCTCTCACTCCCGGGCAGGGCTTGCTGGGGGCCATTTGCCCCCGTACGCCTGCCTCTAATTTCCCACAAGACCAGATGGCACCATCATTCACCGCTACCACGGAAAACACAGAGAGGAGGGAGATATGTGCACGCGAACATGAGGACAATCATCAGAAAAGGAGTTTTTTTATGTATTCCTCATATGGGTGGGGGGTTGTGTTAATGAGGCTTGTGGCTCGATGTTAAGCTCCTATTAGAACGAGATCTAATTAAGTTACACCTAAACACTGCAAATCTTTTTGCTAAACAATCAGTAATTATTACAGCCGTGTTCTGATTAGTGTTTCACAAAGACAAAGAATGACAGCTTAATCCTCTGCGATTATAAACGGTCACTTTAACATATTTGTGGTGATTTAAATGTAGCCGAGCTCCTGGTTGTAGATTTTCTAAGCATAAAGAGAGAAGTTGGGATAAACTGGTCTCTGAATGTGTTTTTTAAAGGTGCAGTATGTAAGAATATAGTGAGAATTTCACAAAAGAGTCTAATGTTTCAGTCGTTTATGAAGGAAAGTTGCTGGATTGTCAGTTTTCTCCTTTCAAAACATAGGCAGGAGGGAAGTAACTAACGATGGGTACCGAATTCCATAGAACTGACTGAGCACCGATTCACGTCATTTGAAACGGCGCCTCATTTCGGTACCCGTCCTTCATAACGAGAACTTGCCTAGACAGCTGCGCATGCGCAAGAGCGTTATGTCGTCGGTCACTGCGAGCCAGTTGTAAACAGAGCAGCATGGTAGAAAGAACGCACGCTAAAGCTTGGGTCCACTTCACTAAATGTGATGGGTAACTGGGTGATGATGAAACCAGCGACAACGATCTAAGTGAGACATCCTCATCTTAATCTGCTCCGGTAGGTAAATAAAATGTTTAAGATAACGTTAGCTTGATATGTTAGCTTCCGTTTCGCTAATGATGCGTTCACTTTCTCCTCTGAACTCCGAATTTCCCACTGGAAGAACATGAACGCGCTCTAAAGTTTGGCTTCACTTTACTAAATGCGACGGGTGATTGGGTGAAGATGAAACCAGCGACAACGATCTAAGTGTGAGGCATCATCGTTTTAATCTGCTCCAGCAGCTAAATAAACTGTTTAAGATAACGTTAGCTTGATAAATTATTCCATTGCCACCATTGTTATCAGCTAATGGTGCGTTCACTTTCTCCTCGGAAATTCTAACTTCCCAGTAGGAAAAATCAAATGAAAAAAGACGGCAAAAGGAATGAAGATACGCAGTAAATTTAGTTCACAGTAAAGATGTTTGCTTCAGTTTAATCATCAGCTTATAAAACTACAAGGACGATGTTAAAATACAAACAGTTGTATGTTATTTATCGTGATATTTATCAAATATGGTTACATATTGAGAAAAATATATATTTAATTATAAAAGAGAATTAAAATATTAAACACTCAAAAGTATCGAAAATTGGTACCGTTAAGTACCGGTATCGATTCCTAGGTACCGGGAATTAGTACAGAATCGATTCAAATGTCAAAGGTACCCATCCCTAGACATAACTGGTGTTTACCATCAGAGTGTGGGGGGTGCCCTTTCTCCTGCGAACTTATACTGCAGGGCCAGCGTTTGTAATCTGACAACGGCCGGCAAAAAGCTCCAGTGTTGTGTAAAGTGGTTGCAGTAACCAGATTTTACCACAGAATGTCCTTTTTACTTCATTTCTACATAGTGCACCTTTAAGGATAACAACCCGTACATGCGGCTAAAACAACACATCTTTTCCTGTCTGTGGATGTGGAGTCGGCGCTGCCCGAGAGGAGGATTCTTCCTACTGCGGGCCAGAGAACACAGACGATGGCAGCAAACGACATATTCATGAATCCTGCTGCTTCTGTCAGACTTGGCTTTGAAAAAGCTCCCTCGCTGCTTCAGCCCTTCATCTGAGACGGGCGAGCGGCACCCAGATACATCTTCATCTGGAACGGGCGCTGACGCGACACATCTCCAGCTGAAGGTGTAATATTTAGGGTTGGAGGTCCTCTTTTCCCTTTTCTCCTCTCCCTGCTCTGTTTTATTTTGCTCCTCCTGGCCTTCTTGCTGCAGCTGACACAACTCGGAGTGAGACGCCCCCTTCAGGCGGATCTGTATCAAAGTGCAGCTCCTCATCCTTCACAGGTCTGAAGCCATGGACGGATGTGCTTTTAACAGGGGTCTTTCTGCGAGGCGCTTTAGTCATCCCGAGCTGCTCAGAAAACAACGGAGTAATCCTGAGCACCGAGGTGAGGTTGAGAGGGAGACGAGGCCAACAGCTCTGTCCCGGCCGCCCAAGCTGCTGCTACCGCTGCCAGCTCTACGAGACACTTCATCCCCCGATCCCGTGTCCAGACAGCCCGTTTGAGCTGCGAAATAATGATCCGACCTGATAGCCCAACGGCAAGGCAACATTTCAGGGAAGGACAGAGGGAGGGAGAGGCGGAGGAAGACAGGAAGGAGAAGAAAATGATGGGGGGTGTCACTGTGAGGGAGTTGGAGGACGTGCTCTCAACCACACGAGCCGAGGCTCGCAGCTTGTTGATTAAACTGAAAAGACAAAAATCAGTGAACTCCCGAACAAAACCGAGCCGCTCCCAATAAAGAAGGGAAGACGAAGCTGGTGTGGAGTTCAGCAGAAGCCTGGGAGCGCTGCCCTCGGCGTGACTGAGCTGTGCTTCCAGTCTCGTGATTAATCCTAGTCTGAATAATGAGACGAGGGAGGGTAAGAACAGTGGAGATTTTGTTTCACAGATGTACGCCCAAACCTTCCTTTTCCTGCTCCGCTCAGACTTTCACATTGATTTAGCTAAACACACGGCGCCGTGGCTGCCAGCAGCAGAACGGTGCCAGCCCCGGGGCGACGGCGAGCCTGATTGTGTTCAGATGAGGACACGCTCCGTTCCGCCTCGCGCCATTTGCATTTCTCCTCTCCTGCCTTTACGCAAATTGAAAGGTATGCAGATGAAGACGGGCTTAAGCGAGCGGGCCGTAAGGAGCAGAAACAGTGAAGTCCAATGCGTCAGACACACGGGTGCCTGATTGGACTGTCAAAACTTCACGGAGAGGTAATCGGCACGGAGTCGGACGATCATTTGGCAAAACATTCAGGGATTTCACGTCATGTTCTGTTTTCTGATGTTTAGCTCCTGCTCCGACTCTCCGTGGGGCCCGGGCGCTTCGCCCCCCGGCTCCGAACGGCTCCGCCTCGTAGGGGAATGGTGAACGAGTGCCAGCCCAGAGAAAGGTCACGCCAGTTTGGGTGGAGAAGAGGAGGAAAGCAGCTCACACTCGAGAAACGGGATCTCCGAATCACGCAGCTGCAGGCTGAAAGCTCAGCCCGTTTACCCATAATCCCTTTCTTCAGCTCGCTTCCACCATACGTTAAACACACGACTCCTAACTGCAAACAGACGGGATAAACCTGGAGAAGACAGAAGAGCAACACCTCCATGCAGACGGACGGTATTCCTGGTTTTCCGGACAGAGAAGGGAGTAAATTTCTGACTCCGTCGCCGCGGTAACAGATGTAAACAAAACCTTCTGGCTGACAGGTTTCTGCATGAGTTCCTCAACAATCTGACTGACACTGCAGCAGAATTCCTTCTTTTTTCCCAGGAGAAGAACAAAAATTCCCAGGTTATTTTGTTAGGAAGGTTTTACTTTTCAACGAGAGATTCTCAGATCCAAAATGCCAAAGTTTGTGTCTCTTTCTGTTCGACGCAACACTCATCTGTAGTAACATGATTGTTAACTCAGTCAATCGGTGTAAAATACATCAAACACATAAAAGAGAAGAAAACATGAAGGATGAAGTGGCAGCAGGTGAGAACAGATACGGAATTAATATCCAAGGAAAAAGATCCACTTTCTGAAATAATGTTATATCCAAAATCTGCTCCGTGAGAAAAGCAATCCTGGTGGGTTAAAACGATGAAAATGGGACTTCTTTAAGAATGTTTCACTTCTCATCTGAGAATCTTTATTAACTCTCCAATCCAAACGTGGCGTTTAATCTGACGCCAAGACAACGGGAACGGGATTACAGCAGGTGAACGGTGGACCAGAGCAACAACAACAAACCAAACAACTCCCAGGAGGACCCACGGTGAGCTGGCTGGCCACCAGCATGGTTGAGTTTTAGATGAAATAACGCAACAGTAACATGTTCCATGGTTGCCATGGCGAATCCAGGTATCTGGCCTCCATTGATGATGCTTTTAAGACACAGGAAACTGGTTGAACTTGTTGAAATCACTCTAGACGTGAAAACTCTGAGTTCTCTGGTCAGGGCAATTTAGCTGACCAACCCTGTTTCTGGAATGCCGCTAAAAGAGTTAAAATAAGCTCCGCCTCCAAACAACTAACTATCACGCACAAAAAAAAAAGAACAAAAACTAAATCGCAGACGACAAATCTGCACGTGTTCATGTTGTCAGGAAATAACGGGAGTCAGGTGATTTAGACACATCACCTGGGAGTGTGTGACCTGGTGACCAGGACGAGGATGAAAGGAGGGGAGTCTGGGTGCTAGTGTGTGTGTGTGTGTGTGTGGGGGGGGGGGGGGGGGGGGTGTCAGCTGGACTCACCCCTATAGAAATAAAAACAAGAGCTCAAGGCTTCAGCACACACAGGACCAGGCTACGTTCTAGTTAGCCAGTTAGCATTTCACCTCTACACCCGTTTCCCCCCCCCCCCCCCCCCCCGAACTTTTATCAGGTTTTACTATTTCTCAGCTACCTGCAGCACAACAGGTAGGCTTTAATGCAACCCGAGTAAATGTGAATGAATAATTATGAATACATTTGCTTTTCTAAACACGATAAAGAGCTAGCAACCAAACCTTTAACCACTTCAGTTGTAAATAATTCACCTGAACAGCCTCTGTTTGGGGAAGTGCAGAATACTAAAATCTGTTGCTGCCATCTTAAAACGGCTCCAGTCGCCTTAACGTCACTCTCACGTAGCGTTACTACAGAAAAACAACCTTTACGAGTTTTAACGAGTAAACATCCCCACCAGCGCCTCTGGTCACTGGAGCCTGATTCTGTTATTAAGCCAAATCAGGGAGATGCTAATCTTCCTGTGATGCTGCAGACATGTTATCTGGTCTTTTAAGCTAGTTTTCCTGAGCACTCCTTGTGATTTTTACTCACGACAAAATAACATGAGGTGATCAGTAAACAGTGTAGGTAGCCTGTAAAGGCCAGAAAGGAGGATAAGAAAGCCAGACGTTTGCCCCCATATACCGTATTTCCCGGACTATAAGTCGCACTTTTTTTTCAATAGTCTGGCAGGTCCTGTGACTTATATACCAAATTATATATACTGCGCTGCTGCGGGCCGGCTCCGGTCCAGGTTTCAGCTCCTCTGCCCTGCTGGGAGAGTTTCAAACACTGCCATCCTCTGCTGGACACTGTGGCGCTCTGCTGCGCCCTGGTTGTCTTTTCTGTTATTGTTACCGGTACTTGTCTTGCAATGTGAAACGCTTGGTCTCAGATTTTGTAAGAAAAATAATAAAATTTCCCCCCAAAATGCGACTTATATGTTTTTTCTTCTTCATTATACATTTTATGGCTGGTGCGACTTATACTCCGGAGCGACTTATACTCCGGAAAATACGGTAAAAGAGAGAAGGGGACACTGCTCTGTCACCTATCCAAAGTTCAGCAAGGATTTCATAACGTTTATGCAGAAATAATCAAGTAACGTCAAACCAAAAGTGACATAAAGTGCAAGCTTAAAAAGAACACACGCTAGCCGTTAGCCTATCAGTCCTGGTGACGTCCTCTGAACAGAAGCTGCCTGATGAGTAAGACGAGAATCGTTTATGATTCTTAGAGAAACAAAATGGCCAAAGTAACCCTGTTACATGTTAATGTGGTGTTGTTAAGGTGCGTGACTCCAGGTGACGTACCCTGAAGTCTTCTGGAAGAAGCAACTTGCTGGTCCTCAGGAAACTGAGAATGTAGCGAAATATCTCGCCGTCCCGATCTATGAAGTAGTGCTGCTTCAAGCTGTCCAACACGATGGGCTCGGTGCCGTTGAACAGACGACTGATTCTGAAAATTGAAACAGACACACAAACACACGCGTGCACACACAAACACACACACACACACACACAAGTGCATAATGGAATGAGCCAGCTCCCTTCAAATGCATGAAACAATTACCCTCCATTTATTTTTCAATTTTATTAGCGCTAAGCTTGAAATGCATTAGCATCACAGGTTGAAACAAGGGGCTTAAGGCGCAGTTCCCCCATTCCAGACTTGTTTGAAGTGTCCCTTCTGCGGAGAGATTACAACAACACACACACACACGCGCGCACACACACACACGCCTGCTGCTTGTACTTACAGAAATTAATGGCATGAATGTAGCATTACAGCTCTATTATTCCATCTGTCAGAGGGGTGGAAATGAACCAGAGGAAGGAAACGGGGAAGGGCCACGTGTTAATGTGAGCGGAGCGTGCAGGAATAATAAAAAAAAGATATGATACGGTTACAGTTTAACTTACTTATGAATTAAAATTGAATTTATAGTCGTGCTCTACTGTATGCAGACCTGTTTGTGTTGAGAGTCAAAATTTAGCTTCATCTCTCATAAGCTACTCGTAGTCGCATCGCTCTGCTGATAAAACGATGAAGTTCCAGAAGATTACTGAATGAATTACTTCATATAAAATGATACCAAGAAGTGTGTGAATAGAAGGAAATGAGCTCCTGACTGAGTGAAAATGATGAGATCAGAGTTTAGCTGAGAAAACAAACGCAGGAAAAGTAAAGTCCCGGTGTTCCTGATGCCTTTCACGCTAGACCTGTGAACTGAGATATTCCTATGAGAAATGATGGACATGGATGTGTTAAAACTCAAGGAAACGTGTTGTAGACAACGCTCAGCCTCTACAACATGAAGCTTTGGAGCACCGTCTGTGAAACTGGTCAGTTAGCGGAAGTGGCCATCTTGGAATGGGTTGCCAGTTTTAATCAAAAACCTCACGTGATGTCTCTTAGCTACTCCCATGCTACATTTGAGCCAGTCCTGTAAATAGTCGACTCTTTTTCAGTCGTCTAAGTCGGGTAAGGTGTGGCGCCCATCTGGAATCCGATCGACTCCCAAAGGTTAAAAAGTTACTGACCTACATCCAGTGACTGACCAGAAGAGCTGAGGGCAGAGCTGTAGCTCCTCGTGTGTGTCGGGGAGGGGTCTTAGCTACTCTGAGACCAATGTTTAGCTCAACACTGCCTCATTTAGAGCCATTTCTTTGTGTTTTCTAAGGTCACTTGGTAGTGGCAGCCATCTTGAAATGGCCTGACTCATTCCAGACGGACGTCTGATGAGTCTAATTAAAAATCTGTCCTGTGGTTCAATTCAATTCAATTCAAAAATACTTAATTAATCCCAGAGGGAAATTGATTGCTGTAGTAGCTCAGGATAATAATAATAATCAAGTCATCAAAGAGTTGTTGTATATGTCCGTTCAGCGGACGGTCCCCTTTCACCTTTTGGTGGCTGACATTAAAAACCTTGTGGACATTACAACGATGCAGTTACTGGACTTACAATTGTAGGATTTCCTCTAAGTGTGAAACAAGACACCTGTTGCTGCCTAGTTTCTCACATTTAACCCTTTACACCGGTGTTTCACAAGATTAAGAGCCCATCTGACGCTTGCTAAAGGGGCTCATCAAGGCAAAGAGTGGAAATTGCTATTATCTTTAAACTTTCATCACACGGTGTTGGTGCCACGCCTGGAGACACCGTGGGACAGATATTCATTTCCCCGCTCTTTGTGTGGGTTTGCTGCCTCCCACCTGCAGGTCTCATCAGAGCACCTCCACTTCATGCGTTTGTTCATCTCCGAGATCCATCTTTAAACATAATCACAGGCACTTTATTTGGAACGGCGTTCCTACTTCGTGTGACACACGCGGCGGATTCGCTCAGGAAAATCTGGAGCACGCTTGCGCCGTCTCACCGAGGAGCAGCTCTTGGCGGGCTGCTGCATTGCTGTTGTTATCGTTTTCGATGTAATCAGCGTTTAAATGACAACTCCAGCTTCTCGGCTGGCTGACAAACTCGTGCAACAAAGAAAATCGTGAAACCTATTTGCAAACTGGCTGATGGAACCCCGCCGAGTTACGGCAGCGTCAAACCCGCGTTGGGAGACGCAGAAGGGGGACATCGGCGCACCGAAAGTGGTCCTCGCTTCAGCCTCGGACTCATTTCGGAGAATCTCCGACCCGCTCGGGTTTAGTGTCAACAGGCCGAAACGCTCACGTCGGACTGCCATCTTTCCTTTTGTTGGACTAAGCTGGGCGAGGATGCAAAGATCCCCTCCCTCCCGCCATCCTTCCCCTCCGTCTGCATCCACTCCCTCGTTCGCTTTCTCTCTGGAAATCGATGCAAAATGCTTTATAAAAAAACCAATACTCATCTCCCTGTTTCGCCCGAGGTCTTCCTTTCTCATATGGTCTTGCAATTCTTCCAGCTAGAATTTCACCATACCCCCCCGGGCTAACTCTGTTTTTCATCTCCACTTTTTTTTAAAAAGCAATTAAAATGCTGCCTGTTTTTCTTTTTCTTTCCCTTCCTCTACTCCCCTCTCACTCCCTCTCCCCCTCCTCTGTTAAATCCCTGAATCGGTGAGTTGAAGGGAATGGGGGGGGGGGGGGTAATTCTTACCAGGTAGGTGGTGAGAAAAAGGCGTGGGAGCTCCTGACAATGAATTAAAAGATTTACAAACACAAAGGAAATAAAAGAGGTTGGTGGATGAACGGCGTTGGACAGAAATGTACAGATCCGGCTCTGATCTCCCACCCCGGCGGTGAGCAGTTACCAAACCCTACTAGCTGTCGGGTCGTGACCTTTTGGGGGTGTCAGAACAGCTGACATGAAGACTTAGACGACCAGTGTTTCCAGTAGTGACTGGTTGGACTCACGCTGAAGAAGCTCGACGACCCACAAAAAAAAAACATTTTAACTGGCAGGTCAACTACTTGGAAAATATTTTAGTTCATTAAAACTAATTAAATATAAAAACGAGGGGATAATTATGGCCTTATTGTTTAACATATTTATATTATTAAGACCTTCCGTCGTATTATAACCCTAGTTGCCCAAAATGAATGAAAGTGTTAACGCCTCACAGAGTTTAGCATTCACTTATTCATCATCTTTTCTCCAGCTCCTCCTAAAAGCTCTCAGATTATTTGCACTTTCTGGCTCGATGAAGCCGAGGCGAGACGCCGGCGACGATTTAGCATCCAAGTCATGAGGAAAATTTCCAAACGTGTTCAAAATTCCGGCGAAACGTAGAACTTTCCTAAAAGTATCGAGACATTCCGTAACGCCGTTGAGGATGATGTTTGAAATCAGTAAAATACCGCCTTTACCAGCGCTGATGAATACTTCTACGAGTAAATCTTCTCAACCACACTGCTGGTCAGAAACGCTCAAACTCTAAAAGCTGGAATACTGTTTTTATTAAATTTAAACCAATTAAAAGAAGATTTAGACACATTAGGACGTGATGAACGAAGACGCCACAGTTTAATCATTACTAATACGGCTGTGGAGCTGATCAAATCTGTGTTTGGCTTTTGATTTGAGCTGTAAACAACAACAAAAACATTATTAATATTCCGCTTTTATTTTTGTATCCTTTTCCCGGACGATGCTCACTTCTTCCCCTCCTGAAGGTTAAACTAAACTATTTTGTGAAGTTTTTAAAAGTAAAGATAAAGTAAAGGTGGCAGAACAAGGGGAAAACACATTGGCAGCATATGCTGCACATGAAACGCCCCTCTCCACATGTTCGGTGGAGCCGTTTCAGCTACACATTTCCACACATTTCTAAGTAACAATGTTCCTTAAATAATAAAAGAATTGGACACCAACTTGTTTGGGGTTCTGTGCTTCCATTGCGGCTCTTCTGTGCTCTTATAGCAGTGCTGCCCGTCGGTGTTTATGTCTTTTAAACTGATTGTTAGGAAAAGATTTATTTGATTCTTATCTTAGATAGCATTTATAAGCTAGGCTATACCGATTTGAGTGTGGAAAAAGTGATTTTGGATTTATACTTTATACTCTGATATGTTTTAATCATCAATAAACAGCAACTCTGCCACCTGTTGATGTAAACGAGTAACTACCGGCTCCTTAAAACATGAACTCTGGATATTTTTAGCTTGAAACAATCTAGAAACATTTGCTAAAACGGTTTTGCAACCATTAGTGATCCAAGCGTATGTTTTTGAAGATGCTGATTCAAAATACAACAGAAATGAAAGTGAACACAGATAATAATAATAAACAGTTTGATGTGCCCTGCAGAGTGATGCTGTCTGTGTGTGTTCAGGTGACACTCGAGGCTCTTATTTTGGTGAGCTGCACTGCAACTTTCTGATGTTTTCGCCTGCAGAGAAGAACAAACGCAGGTTTTCCAACGTTATGAGTGACTGTGTGAATTAATGAGAATACTTTCCATAATCAAGCTGGCCTAATCATCATGAGCTACTAGAAGTTCATCCAGTTCTATTATCTCTAGCTACTGAAGCCTCATCTTTTAAGCTGTCCTTTTCAACACGGTTTCCTCGTCTCGGGAACATTTCCTCTAATTTCCTCAGCTTCTGTTCAAGTGACTGCTTGAGACCATCCTCTCTGAGATCTGCACAGAGTGCACATCAATGTTTCATGGCCCCTGTCCCTTAATGTGGCCCACACAGAAGAAGATGAATGTCCACACATTAGTTACTAGACTAACTTTCTCTTGGCACGCTGCATTATTTAGAGCTCAATCTATTAAAAGTAATCAGCGACTTCAGAAGTCTTTAGGCCCGCTCTCTCAGTCGTCACGTTTTCAGCTCCTCCCGCTTGCCCCGCTCGACCCGCTGAACAAACGCGGCTGAACGCGGCACACATGGTTATGCCAGTGTAATTGTTTTGCTTTCTGCTGTCAGCCATTATCCTAATTCACACAAAAGGGCCCCTCCTTCCTCTGGCTTCAGTGGAAAGTGGAGCCCTGAGGGTAACTGTACGCAGAGGAGGCTGGGAGAAACAGTGTGTGTGTGTGTGTGTGTGTGTGTGTGTGTGTGTGTGTGTGTGTGTGTGTGTGTGTGTGTGTGTGTGTGTGTGTGTGTGCGTGTGCAGAGTGACAAAGAAACAGCAAGAGACAGATAAAGGGAGAGAAAGAGAAAAAGTGCACTTCAGCCAAGACTCACACTGATATCTAGTCTTTGCTCGTTCTGTAAAAACACTGTTTGGATGCTCCGACACGGTTCTGCGTGCGTGCGTGTGTGTGTGTGTGTGTGTGTGTGTGTGTGTGTGTGTGTGTGTGTGGCTCCTTGAATAACTTCTTTGTAAAGTGTAAAGCTAAACCAGTGCTTAGAGAAAAAAAAGAGAAAGAAACATGGAAGCAAAAGACCAAAGGCCTTGTTGTTACCCGTTTGATGAACTGGACGTAAAACTAAATTAGCTACTAGGAAATCACCTCGATAAACAACAACGATGTTAAACATTGCGTCTTTTGTCTGGGCTGAGCCTAATTTCTCTTCTTTTTTTTTTTGGACTGGGGTAAGAAGAAGCCAGAGCTGTCAGGGATTTCCCGTCAGCAGATTTTATGTAGATCACGTTTTTATTAGCAGGGGATTACATGGATCGTTTCCTGTAGTCAATCTGGCAGATTCTCTGGTGGATGTTTACCTTGTCCCATGAGGGACTCAACTGATGCGCGACTGAGGGCACGCCAATGTAACGAATGACAGTGTACATTAACTGTGAAAAGACGTATTAGTGTTGTTTGTTTTCGTAGATTTTTAAAGGTTGTTGTAACAGAATTACAACCAGATTATACAAAATCTTACCCACTGACTTAATGCCGTGAAGGACGTGCAGCAAAACTGCAAAACATGTGGATTCATTTGTGATTTTTCCATCCTTTCAGCTCCAGTTGCAGGGAGTTTAAACAGGAGGCGGGGCCGGCATGGTCAAGCTAACGACGTTGCCTCATATAAACACAAATATTTCTCGAAGATAACCCGGAAATCTGCTCCTTAGATGGTTACAAATAAGAAAAAGACGTGGACGTGTGCCACGCAGCGAGCTGGATCCTAATCGGATTTGATGCTGTCTTACAGAAGCCTTTGATGACAGGCTTTCGGACATTTACATCATTGTTTTCCCTCCGAGGATTTCTCACAGATCTACTGACGGAAAAAATTAAATAAAAATTGGTAAAATAAATAATAAATAAAAGCTTGATAAAAGAGGGGGTGGTGCAAAAAGTGTTGGTGTGCTGCAAATTCACACCAACGCTACTACTGACATCAGCAGGGAGATGTGTGGAATCCACTGACTCTGATCTGAGGCTCGTGGGTAAAATAAAGACTCGGATCTAACAACAACAGAAAATCATCCCATACCTACAGAGTTTACGACTGGAGAAGAGTCCACCTACATGTGTTTACCCAAACTGCATTTACTGCTAAAGTTGTGGTTTTCAGAGATAAACTAATAAATACTATTAATCCCAGGCTGGGAAGTGTCTGCAGCAACAAACAACACAAGAACAGAATTTCATATGATGCAGAAAAAAGTTAAAAGTGTGCTAAAACAAAATGAAGTTTTGGGTAAAAACAAGCTGCAGTCAACTGAAATATTTAAATTCTCTATTTTAGATCAAGTATTTTAACTTGGAAACCAAACAGGTTACAGATAAAATGTGAATGAATGAAGTGATTCATGCCATCAGCAGAGAGTGGGTCTCACCTGGAGTCTGGGTACTTGGTGAGGGTCGCCAGGCTGCTGGTGTACATGTGCCCCCCGACGTCGATGTGCACGGGGGCGTTTGCCTTGGTCAGCTGTGCCGGCAGAGGGATGCCCTGGGCGGCCAGAGGAGAGACCGGGGACCGGGTCAGCGACAGCCGTGACATGCTTCTTCCCTCCTGAAAGCAAGTGTAGAGAAAAGCCATGGGAGCAGGCGGAGGAGGGGGGGCGGGAGAGCTGGTCTACACGCTGATCCCGCACTGGAAAGTCTCCTTTCTGGATCCTGTCAGATCACTTCCATGTCTGCCTGGTCGCATGTTCACCCTGGAAATTGTTGCCACCGCTCTAATTAAGTATGTTTGCATCTTTTCATGCGGCACCGCGGGCGAGGATAGGAGGATGCTTATTAGAGAGAACCGGGCTGAGAGAGAGATAGACAGATAGAGGGAGGGAGGGAGAGAGAGAGGGAGGGGGGGTGCTAGGTGGCAGCCTCCAGGGTCATCAAACAAACCGCTGCTGCAATATTCTAATTAAAGGTCGCCTTATGTCTTAGACGTGATGCGCAAAGACGCACCAATCTGAGTGCAAGAGAGACGCGGAGGTGTGTGTGTGTGTGTGTGTGTGTGTGTGTGTGTAGGGAGGGGGGTCAAGTGCACACATTCAACACAAAATCCTAAGTCTCGTCACGTGACTCCAAACGGCCGCGCTATGCGTAAAAACGCACCGGAAATCAGTCCACAGCTGTCCATCTAGCAGGCTGGACCAGGAAGTGTCCGGCTCAGTCCGAGACGCGCTTCAGACGTCACAAATTAACCGGAGAGATGGGGGTGGGCAGAGGCACCGGGTCGGGGCGGGCTGACATCACCTGATGAATTCGCTATGATCCAAGAGGAACCGGCTGGTGCGCCGTTCTCACTTAACGGGACTCAATACAGGACCAAACAGGAAGTAAAAGCAGCGTTTTAACCTTGACGATGAAAGCAAACTTCCTCAAAGCCAATCCAAACTTTGTTTTGCGCAGCACCCATGACCAGTTTGTTGTTCCTCTGCGTCTAAAGAACCCAGATCCTCCCTGAGGCTCAGCCGTGCCACCAGGCAGCAAAGTGAGACCGGAGCCTTTTTCTAGGGTGTTGCCCTCCTCACAGCCGTATCCTGTTCCTTCAACACGATTACAGCCGGTCGGGATTACATTTCAGATCCAAGGGGAAAATGAAAAAAACTCCAGACTTGAAAGTTTTGGCTCTGTGGGCCTGTCCCATCACAGACATTTCTCCATCTTTGTCCCACCAGTTAAGTAGTTTAAATCATTATTTAAGATATTTGGGAGAAAATTAACAAAACGAGCCGTAACTGGTGTAAAACTTGGGCTGAGACGCACACCAGCAAACAAACCTAAAATAAATCCCTTCAGGAAATAACAGCTCTGAAAGCTTAAACTTTCCCCCCAGAACGGACGCCGTCTCCAGTCTGGTACATGGAGGACAGCCGCGCAGCTGGCCCAGAATTACGCGGTGGCTGGAGGCCGGTGGAGAAGCCCTCACCGGCCGCAGGAACGCCACAAGCCAAACGCTCAACATGGCGTCTGAATCCTGCAAAAACAGAAATCACAGCCCGTTCACAAAACTCACGTGTTACCGATGTAAACCGGGAGGAATATGAATAAAACCAACCGGAGTAGACCCTGAAGGTCCGGCAGCAGCGCGGACCCGTTCAGACCAGAACCACCGGGACTTAAAACCCAAAGGATCGTGGAGTGAGATGGTCACCATACCGTTTCAAACATTGTAGGAAGTCCAGATGAATCCGTGCCGGAGGTCAGTCCCAGCTGCTGTCTGCGGAACGCTCGGTACGGTCCAAAATCCCCGCGAGTTTAAGTCAGAACTACCCCGGCGTCCAGCTCCGGCACCGACCCCAACTACCGCGCAGAGAGCAGCTCGGTCCCCCCGATCCACACGCACCGTAGCAGCTGAAGCCGACTGCTGGCAGCGGGGGTCTCTGTGGCTTTAAAGGCTGGCTCGACCTGTCCTCAGCTGCTGCTTTGTACCAAAGCGCGCAGGAAGCGTCCTTACCTTGAACATAGATGAGACGATCTCCTTCCCCTTCGCAGATCGGATTCGGAGACGCGTAAAATCTGCGCTCTTTTCGGGATCCCGCTCCGTATTTCTGCCTCTTCTCCGTCTTTTTGCCTAAATGAAACTGCCCCTGTGGTTTGTTATGAGACGAAGAAAGCCAATAATCCTTCTTTAAATAACAGAGCGGAGCTAAAAAGGAAAATTCTCGCTCCGGGCTGCCCGAGCGCCTCTGGGCCAGGGATTAGGCTACAATTAGCTCAACTCCTCTCTCGCCTCGGCAATTTTCTCAAGGAAGAGAATGCGATACCCGCTATTCTTCAAATTACGACTTCGTGGATGTAATAAGTTGTTTTTGAAGGCAGACGTGGAGCGTTCCCGTGAACTGTGTGAAGTTGTGCTTTGGAAACCTATCGGGCAAGTGTCAGCCGCTGCAGATCCACATTTAGATTTAGCAGATTTTGATCATTGTCATTTGGTCTGATGCAACAGTTCCCCAGGCAGTCCGTCTAGCAGGAAGGCATCTCCATCTTCAGCCTGAATTTAAAGTTTAAAAGCCCGGCAAGCAGCCATATCCTCCACTCGGGCAGCAAATATAAAGGTGGAATAAGTTGTTGATAAAAGTCTCAGCCCGAAAAAATGTAAATGAAAAGAATCTTTGATTTGTGCCATGAGGAGATTTCTCCCCCTGCTCGCTCCCTCTCGCTCTCTAATGTCAAACGCCAAATTTCCTGCAGGCCATTAAAATCAAATGACGTCTATGGACATGCATGCATGCTGCCGCAGAAAGCGCCCTCACAACCTGCCTGCAGCCAAATGCGCCATTTCAATTATAGTGCAGGGCTTAGATGGGGATATCTGCACAGAACACCCCCCTCATCTCCCTCCCCCTCACTTCCAAGTGAAAGGCAGGCAGCCTCCAGACTTTTTGGAAGAGAAGATTGTGGGTGATTATTATTTTTCAGCACATGGTGAAACAATGAGAGCGGGGCTGCGCTAAATGTTGCGCCACTTCATTTTTTTTTATTTTCTTTAAGGGTGAGTCAGAGGTCAAGCTGCTGCCCACAACACAGGATAACAGTACTTGTTTATTTGCGGGTAAACAACTGTAAATAATTGAGGCAACACTGAGCCCAGTAATTAGCCGGTACCAGCTTCCACGGATACGTCACATTCGTTTCTTGATATTTGGCGCCAACCAGTGTAGAAACGTGTTATTGGTCCACAGAATTTACATAAAGGTGGAGGTGGTACCTGTGTCCTCTAGGCCTGTATGTACACACACACACACACACACACACCAGTGTGTGTGTGTGTGTGTGTGTGTGTGTGTGTGTGTCACACAGATGTTCACCATAGCTACTCAACATCAGCAAACATCAAAACATTTACAACACGGTCAGTTTTCCCAATAATTAGCTAAAATGTGGTTTGATATTAACTCTCAAACGTGAATAAGTAAACCATTTGGCAAATTAAAAATACACTTTCATATATATGAACATCCACAAAACCCAATTCAAGATGGCAACAACACAACCAAATGAACCAAGAAAACACAAAATGCCACAAGTTACTAAATTTTACAGACTTGAATCTAAAACGTGGTGTTTTAAATAAAAGTGCCATACCATTTAGAGTCCACCCAGTACCACTCCATACAATATAAAACACTTAGAAAATTCATCTAAAAAATACAGAAAGAAAATAATCTTTTATATAACACCTAAAGATAAAAGGCACTTCACAAAAACAAAAAAAAGTAAAATATAAAAAAGATTTTCAAAAATGTTTAAAAAAGATGTTTAAAATGACAAAAAATTGTAGTTAAAACTTAAAGGAACGAGAGATAGAAAATGAAAGGAAAGAGGAAAATCGGTGGACTAATTGGGAGTTCATCTGAATCAAGATGGCCACCAAGGCTAACACTTAGCAAACACAAACACAAAGCTCTGTGGGTTTTACGGATGTTAAACTAATGTTTTGAGTGATAATAGCTCAGTAGTTAAATGTACTGTTATCTGCCAACCTTTAACAAACATTCATAAATGAACATCCACAATTTACTTACTTTAGAAGTTATTCAAATTCAAGATGGCTACCACGACAAGCTGACCTTAGAAAAACAAAAAAAACCTTCAGTTAGTGAAATATACAGATATTATACAAAAATGCTGTTTTAGTAGCTAATAGTCACCTCTAACTGCTGCTCTAAGTGCTGCACGGTTTTTAAGACCTTACAAGTTTAACTGTACCTTTTGTAACTCCCAGAACGTAATCCTTGGATGTTCATCTACAAGAGCCTACTTCAAAATAGCCACCACAGCTAAAATAATATAAACTATAGCAAAACACAAATGCTTCGAACTTAATAATAAAAAACGCTTCGAACTTTTGCCGTAAAATAAAAAATAACGGATGTCATAAAAACAGTGTCTAAAGTGGGAAATGTATTAAAACTACTAGCGCCCCCGTGAGGATGCCTGACACAACGGCGCGGTAGCCAGCACCTTGCTAACCAGAAAGCAGTTTCAACTTGTTTCAGTGCGTTGTTGAAGCTTTTTCTGATATTATCGCATAGAGCATAAATTTTCAGCGATATTGATACTGATTTAGAAAAAATAAACTTCTAGCCATTCTAACATGTTTTTCCTGTGTATGTATGTGTTGAGTTGTTTATTTGCACTCCAAATAAGTTTTTGTATTTATGCTTATGTTTTGTTCTCATTTGTCAAAGTTTCTTGCTCTATTGATTATTTGCTTTACCTAATATGACGACCAATGAGATTGCTTTCAGCACTGCATAAAAGACGTGACTGGAATAATAAACTCCTCTTGGGAATGACAGCTGACGTGTCCGTAAGGTTTGTTTTCTCCGTCAACCCAGATGATGACAACCTGGGAATGTCGAGCTCAGAGATAGCTCTGGTTGAGCTCTGCTAACAAGTTGCATATGTATGTGGGCGCTCTCGCCACCTAGCGGCTTGGTGGAGGTAACGCACCATATTGTTAGAAGAAAGTAAAAGATATTTCTTTGATCTGAGAAAATGAAATAACTTGCTTAAAAATACTAAAAAATGCAAATATAATCTTGTTCTACAACATTTCTTTTTCCAATTTATATTATTATATAATTATTTATATTATCTATTTATTTATTGTTTATCGGTTAACTGAATATATGACCTTTGGTGCTACAAGTATGATGGCTGCCACTGTTAACATCAGCCAACAATAATCTAATAGATAGTAACTCAGCCACTGTTCCAGATATTGGGCTAATTTTTGATTTAGAAGTATTTGAGAGTCATTCATGGACTGGGCACAAAATTTCACAATTTCTTAAAGTAATAAAATAATGATTTGCCTTTAATTGGTCTAATGGGTTTTTGAGGCTGCATTCTTCTCTCATTGCAAGGACTTACTGCATCTTTTGTGAAAAGCAATAATTGAATGATATATACAGTTGAGTGAAACTGCTGGTAATACTTGACAGCAGTACTGATGGGAGCATGAGCATCCGTCTCTCCTCGAGGCGCACCAACTTTTCGTATAATTAGAGAGACCTCAGCGCGCCTCAGAGCTTTCCTATCTTCCCCCCTCTGGCTCAGATTTGTTGTTTCCAGAGGTACAAACTGGAGGGGGAAACTGATTTTTTTTCTCATTAAAGGAAACAAGCCTGGAGTTAGTTCAATTACATGAAGTATGCAGGGATGTTGTAAATTTAAAGATTTAAATAGCTTACAAAGTGGCCTCGGGCCCCATCAGTTAATTTCTTTAATTTATGGATTTTATCGGTGTCTGAGTGGAAGAAGTAGGTCATCTCGAGTATTTGCATGCAGCCCGGGGGATTCACGAGAAATCCAAACACCTGCCCTCCCGAGCAGGACCTCTGCAGGTGAAAGGCCGTCCTCTCTCAACAACACAAGCAGAAATGTTTATTTAACAGAAGCCTCCTCTTTTCCAAGGATCAGGAACGCTGATCAGATTTGTAATATTTGACTCAGGTAATGAGATTACTGATGTCTGGCCTCTGTGATGCAGTCGCAGCAAGAGATAACAGCTCTGTTCTAGTTTTTATTAAAGGATTGTTCCACTAAAACGTCTCCGATTCACACATTTGTGTCACAGAGTCGATGAAGCTCTAAATGTGGATTCTTGTGTGTAATTCAGAATGAAGATCTTTAAGTTGCATGTATATGAATATATGAGTCAATATTTCAAAGTCTGGCCCAGACTTCACATGCAAATGAATGTATGAATGAATGCATGACCCTGTGTGAATAATAACTTTGCCTCCAGGTCCAGAATCAGGTGTCATTAGTGGTGATGCTGTGTGTCATGGAGGACAATAGTGTCTCTATTTCTGCTTCCACGTTTGTCCTTTTCTCACAAAATCTGAGTTTGCAGCTTTCCTACTTTAGATGAATTAGACGCTGTATTCATAATGATAACAGTGCTCTGCTTTTTATAAAATACTATTCAACCACTACAATATTGATCAGTCATGAGGTAACCTACAAATGACAAATACAGAAAACATGTCTAATACGATCAGATCCGTTCTGATGATCAAGTACTATTTTCGAGCTCTGCACATTCACAGGAAAATGGAGCACAGCGCCATCTGCTGGTTAGAAGCAACACTCTGCACAAACAGGATTCTTGAGCTCTGACGTTTGACGTCATCGTAAGATCTTGTAGATGACACCAGCCAGCTGAGGTCTCCTCAGTTTATTCAATTTCAATTCAAATTCAAAGATGCTTTATTAATCCCAGAGGGAAATTAGAGTCTCAGTACACACAATTCAATTACCTGTCCTCATGCATCCTCATGGGGGGGGGGGGGGGGGGGGGGGGGGGGGGTCCATGTCCTGAATAATCTTTCCAACTGTCAGAGGAACATCAAGCAACCTTTACAATCCAAAGATCCTCTTTTCTCCTTATTCATGAAGCAGCCTGCTCGACCCGAGCATCTCTCTTTTTCTGTGATTTTACAGAAAAACAGGCAATCGCAGTAAAAATGCCAGGGCTCATTCTACAGGACCAGGGCATTGCAGGAGAATGTATGAAGAAGACATTTATTATTTCTATACATGTTTTGGCTGTCAAACTTCCATAATGTCCCTATGACATGTGTAAAATACGTGAAATGTGCAATCGTTACAAAACCAAACCAAATGACATTCACATTATCTATATGCAAAAAAAATGAACAAAATATGGATTAAACAAATATAGAAGACCTAAATAACTGCACAAAACACACAGAGACGTACGCCTTAACAGCAGTGATGTTGTTTAAGCAGTGCACCTATGTTGACCCAGTCACGCTGTCCCTCTGTTGCTTGTTTTGTGGACTTTTTGGAGAACGGTTTACAACAGAAGCAGTTGACTGCATCCTTTCTGTTTGAGTAGGTGAGCCGACTTCGTTTCATTCGTTGCCCCTTTAACCAACTGTCTGTGTGTGTAGCGACGGTGAAAGCTTCGGCCATCGGGCTTCTTCGGGAATGTGAGGTTTTCCCTTACAGAAAATGGTCCTCTACTTACCAGATCAGTCCTTTTTGAGTCAGACAACATATGAGACTAGTCAGATGGAGCAACTGGAGATGCTGATGGCTGGAATTTGTGGAAGGTGCCGCCTCAATTCCTGAAGCAGACAAGCCTGAGTGAAAATTACAGTGAACATCACAATTGCAATTTATTTAGCATTTATTGAAGTAATTTCAGAAAATACCGAAGAAGCCCTGTGAACTGACCTGGTACAGCAGCTGATGTTGAAAAATCCAGACTAGTCGATGCTGTTGTTGGTAGGTGCTCCTCAATCCCAGCTGTTGGTCGGTTCTTCTTCTGGCTCTCGGCTGCTGGCAGGTGCTCTCCACTCTCAAAAGCCGACAGCCATACAGAGGATGAACCTGTGGTAGCAAAGAAAATCTCACTGTGTTAAATGAGTTATGTCATATTTAAAATGAAAATAACAAATTTTGACCAACAGTCTAAAATAAAGATGGTTAATTCATGATCTGGGAGTTCAGTACTCACTTGCAGTGTCTTCAGCTGAGGAAGCACCGCTACTTGCTTCAACAGGTTGTGCTGCTTTGCTTCAAAATACTTCAGAAGCGCTCCTGCAAAATGCTACACACGGGCATAGACCTAGTTAATGAACAACTTCCATTTCCTATCCTTAATCATACAGACTTTTAATTGTCCCTGTAGTTAAAATGTGTCCAAATCTACCTCTCTGTCCTGTTTTGACCTATTTCCTCATCTTTCTGTAGAGCTGTTTGTGTTTCCTTTCTCCTTGTTTGCAAATCTTCTCCACCTATACTTACAGCTCCCATCAGTTAATGTAATGAGTGCCTTCAAGTCATTTTGTGCCACCCCTCTCCCTGCTTTCAGAGCGTCGGAGGTGCACATCAGCATCCCCCGACCCTCCTCTCCCGGTCTCAAGGCAATCAGCTGCAAGCTGTGTGTGTGCACGCGCGCCGTGCATGCATTTTGCCTATTTTTAAGGCTCCAGGGCCTGCAGGTACAGTCTGTCACGGGAGCCAGATCCTCCAAGAGGGAGCCGGCTGAGAGCTGTTTCGTTCGCGACGGACAGCGGACAGATCACTATGACGCAGAGGCATAAGCCAAGCTTGTATACCTGTTCCACATTACAACCTACTTGGCTACAGCTTAAGTTTTCATATCACACAGGTCACGAGTAAAATTCAATACTTAACCGTTCACCGGATCATTTTGAACCGATGTCTATCGTCAATATTTTAACAGTTTTTTTTCTACAGTAGCTCACAATGTTGGCACTCACCTGGCTGCAACGCTAGCCAGCTAGCTAACCAAACGGATAAACTGAACCAAAGGCCTGGTTAATCATGACAAAAAAATGATATTATTGGACTTCCTAGCTTACATTTGTTTCGTTCGTTTTTATCTTCCTTCAGTTCCTTTGTCTTTCTTTTCTCTGCTCTAAACGGATAGTTTCTTTTGGGCGCCATCCTTCTACCACGTTTTTTCAGTGGTCTACGCGACTCCGTAAGGGTGGCTGTGAGGGAGGGGGGACAGAGTAAATAAAAAGGAGCTACTGGGTCTGGAGGAATGGTCTTTGTTGGGAAGAGTTTGTGGGGTAGAGAGATCGGAAGAAGGAAGCTTTTGCTTTGAGCTTTTTGTCTGTGATAATCTGACCTAATGTCATTTTTGGAGAGCTTATTCAGCTAAACTTTGCTATAACTCGGTTTATTGGCAAAGAGTTGTTTCACTTTTTAACCCGCTTTATCGGGTTTCGTTTGGATTATTATTCTTTTATCGTCTGTGTGTAATAAAACCTAGTTCCTCGGATTCGAGGAACGAAAAAAGGATGTGCGAGTGGGGTCTCCTCCTGTCGGTAACCGAGCAAAGGTGAGGTGCTGGTTGTAAATGCCACCCCTAGGTGTTATTGATATAAGTCGTTTCCTCCATCCTAGGCTACAGGTAAAGTCAGGTGTCTCCTCAGCATAAAAGGAACAGCTGGCAAGGGTCTTAACCTGAAGTGTACATAAGCTTCATGGACTGGGGGTGTGTGTAGGTGTGTTTGCGCCTCCTTTGTGTCTGCTTGAACTAATTTTGGTCCGAATTAGAAGCCCTGGGTAATGTGGTGATTGCTAATCAACTCTCTACAGAGTAAGGGTGTTCGTTGGTAACTAGATGCCACACACACTACACTGATTACAAATCAAACCCTGAGAAATTAATAACACCTAGGAGAGTGGAGCTAGCCCGGTAAATTGGCTTGTAACAATTTCAAATGGATTATATAATGTAAAACCAACCTTTTGGACCCTTTAAACCATGTTATATTGCTGTTTCCAAAGCAGTTTTTGGTTTTCCATATTTGCCGAGCTATTGTGAATGGCTGGATGGAACCGGTTTCCATCATCCTGTTCTGCCCCTCCCCATCCAGGTAGCGCAGGACCTGTACGTTCCTCCCCTGTGTTATAAACTTTTAACAACAACTCTCTCCAAGTTGCAAACGGCAAGCAGGTAATTCAATCTCCACAGATGTGAAGAAGTGATTTTTGTCTTATCTAATCTGCACTTTTGCTAATGCCTAGAACATGAAAATGCAGGACTTCATTTAGTCTTTTGCTCAATCAGAAATGACTGGAATTGGTTTGCCTGGCCACAATATGTTTGCATGATTTCACAGATGAACCTCGGCCAGTACCAGAGTGGGTTTTCAGACTGATTACTTCTCTAAACCAGCACTTTTCTCTCTACATGGGGGAACAGGCTGGGGTGGGGGAGGAACCTGCTCCCCCACCCCCAATTAATGGTGTGGCCTCTGCTGCATCATCTTTCTCAGGTATACAACACCAGGGACTTGGGGGTTAGTAGTGGGTCTCTCCCTTCAGCTCTCTGCTCCAGCCCTTGTCCCAATAAAAATGTCTCAATAATGGGCCATTCCCATCTGTACCGGGTCGGCCCGGGCCAGGTAGCCCCAGTCGGCCCCAGCCTGGCCCGGTTAATTCCACACATCCTTGCCTTAAGCCCATGTGGGCTGATTCTACCCACCAATCAGAGGCTTGCTCTAATGGAAGGTGTGAATTTGCTGTCAGCAGTGGGTGTGTTGGCCCTGGTCGGCCTGAAGCAGACCCCCTCGAGAAGAGGGCTGAGATTGAGCCTTGGTTGGCCCGGAAAAATACCAGGCCACCCAGATATGTAAACAACCTACGCTACCCGGCCCGGGCCGACCTGGTACAGATGGGAATGGCCCATTAATAACCCGTTTTTCAGTACAAACAATGTCTCCATATCATGCCAACGGTAACATTGCATCATATATGGGCCTATAGTTGCTCAGAAAGGTTTAAAACAGGACGATGCAGAACCTTTAACCCCACTGTCTTCATGGGTGACTCCGCGAGAAAAGCTGACCATTGAGCAGGATTGATGGCTTTTCCCTTGAGGTCCATGTGGCAGGGGTGAGGTGGTGCTCACTCCTCACCCCTGCCACATGGACCCAAGGAATAAACCATCAACCCTGCTCAACGGTCACCATTCCTCACAGGGTCACACCCATTAGGACAGTGGGAGGGATAAAGATTTGACCCAAAATGCACAAAACAAAGTATTTGAAGTTAAAACCTTTGAGGAAAAGGCAGCAGGTGGGACGTATGAATGGGCGTTTAAGTTCCCATTCTTCAGAATGATTTAGGATTTAGTTAAAATGACTTCATCTTTGGTCTTTTAGAACAAACATGTCTTTTAGGACTCGCCAAGACCAAGTCCCCCATACTGTACATACAGTGATGTGATAACAGCAGGTGCATTACAGTCACATCTGCTCCTCTGAATGTGAACGTTTGCAAGAATCTCCTTCTTTTCAAGCACTTTGCATCAGATCAACGTTTCTTCCCCCTCTGGCATGTGGAGAAAGTTTTAAAAGAACATTCAGAACTCGCTTGAAGTCATCTGCACGCCTCGCAGAGCCCGGTTGCTGTCAATCGTGCCACTCTTGCAGCCGTTTGACATTCTGCTTGATGTTGGTGTGTGTCTGAGGTGCAGCAGCGACACTTATTGTTCATTATTTCAGTGAGAGAGAGAGAGAGAGAGGGAAAGAGGGGGGTGATAGGATGTCGGTGTATTAATAGAACCTATGGCTGTGTTCCACACAAACACCTAACAAGCATAAAGCAGAATTCCCTCCAGCGCTGAAGGCCGGCACTGAGGTTTGGGAAAAAGCTGAGCAGAAAGAGTATTTTCTCTTTATGACGATGTGACTCACTTCTGCTGTCGTGTCATCCTCTTTATCTGATTTAGTTCGTTTAAATCAAACATCACCAAAAATTTAATCTCTAAATCAGAGGTTCCCAACCTTTTTTCCTTGAGGACCCCCTTGCCTGTGTCCAAGACAAGCAGGGAGCCCCAACCCCAACTCTTACCCGCATAAATACATTAAATAATTTACTAACTTCATCCAGACATACAGAGTTACAACTCTTGTTTTGCGACCTTACAACCTCGGCACAGACCCCCAAGGAGGACCATGGTCTCCAGATTGGAAACCACTGGTGTAAATAGCCAGTTCTCCTACAAAAGAACTGAAAGACTCTCAGCTCTTTAGGTATTGAATCAGGAGCCAATAAAATAAAACGTCTTACAGCTAAAAAAAAAAAAAAAAAAAAAAGACTAACTTTAATGTGAGCTTCTCAAAAATGTAAGTTATTAATTATTAGAGATTTTTACTGAAGCAGAACTTTAGTTCTTTGGATAAATGGAACAGGAATGGACGGATTTCTCAGACTTTATTTCTTCATCTTTTTCCTTTCATGCTGAAAATCTGGGCCAGTGTTTGATGTTCTGACTCAACCAGCTCTGCTGCCACCAGGTGGCCTGAAGCTGCAACTGCATGCTGTGGTGAACACCTCGATACCTGCAGGAGGATGATTATCAGCAGCTTATGTGGTTTTTAAGTGAAGGTCACGACTCAGAAATCCGACTGCTCTCAGAGGGGAGTTTGTTCTGTGTCTCCTGTTGTATTTGTCACCATCTCTGTGGTTTTTAATCCAGAGTCTAACCCTCTCTGAAGTTCTTTAAAAAAACTGGTGAAACGTGTTATTGTGCTTCTGGCTTTTAGAGAATCCGGCATCATGCCTTGAATGTGTGAACAGAGGAAAAATGATCTTTTGCTTTCCTTGCTGCTACTGTTTGGTTAGCAGTAACAACGTGAACTGTGTGATGTCTCCAATCACATCTGGTATGCATCACAAAGCATTCCTCCCCACTCGGAGCGCCTCGGGGGGAGTCACAGGCTCAGCAGAGCACCCACAGTCCTCATTAGAGTGCATGTGTCAGGATGGCATCAACCCACAGCCTTGACTTATGCTTTAAATTTACCGTCATCCATCGTGAGACTGTCATCAGAACGGTCAGAGAGCTGGGATTTAATCTGAAGCTGATGTTTGTAAGTCATGGTACGTTCAGCCCCCCACCCCGGGGCCCTTTTGTCTGTCTGTAGCCGTGCTGTTGAGTCTTGCAATGGCCCCAGACTTAAACTGGAGTCCTGTCCTTTTGTTGCGCGCTGAGCTCTCTAACAGCACAGAGGAGGGATGAGGTTTGATGTGTCTTCTGAAGGCCCGCTGCTTTGTCAACACGGAGGTCCGGCACTGACACCATGGAAGCCAAGCGCCTCGGGGTGACAGAGGGGGGAGGGGTGGGGCAGGGGTGGGTGGAAAGGGAAGGGAAGGGTGGGTCACGGCAAAAGAGCGACAGACAGGAAGAGAAGCAAGAGTGGCGAAGGGGGAAGGGTGCCTGCTAGTGCGGCCAGTGCCCAGGGCGAGTGCAGAGTGCTCTGTGCAGCAGATAGGCACTCAGGCTGCTGGCTGATGACATTTTATGGTCACAACATGCAATTCCACCAACTTTACTTGGTAAAAATCTAGTTTTCATGCACACAAAGAGTGGAAAGTTTTTTCATTTGTGTCCTTTTTTCTCTCACAGCCACATTCAGAATCATCGTTGCTCTGCAGGAAACACCGATGATACAACAATCGTCTACAACAGACCAGAGTCAGTCTTGTTCTGTGCTGTCCTCCAACAGCGTGTGAAGTAAATGTCTTTGATAAATTGGTGAATCCAGATCGGGTGTGCAGCTACGGGGAGTAACAAAATATAAACAAACATTTTCTTATTCTAGCAGATTAAAGGTGCAGTATGTAAAAATATAGTGAGAATTTTACAGTGAGAAAATCCCAAGAGTCATTTTGGAAGGAAGGTTATACTGAAACATATTTCATATCTACATGGCTGTAGGGATTGTCTTTTTAGTTTTTATTTATTTATTTTTTTTACCTTGTCCTGTCCGGCTGTGAAGCTATCAGAACTGATGTCTCCTGATACCAAAACTTTGTTAGAAATATTTTCGGTTGTTTAGAATCCCAACGGACATGGAGACAGAAGTGTAAGAGAAAGGGGGAGAGAGAAGGAAGAGGTGGGGGAGGGGTGTTGACAAAAATAAACAATAAATGAGGAGCAAGAATCTGCTTCTAGACCTGCAGAAAGTGAGAGAGAGAGAAAAAGGGGCGACACAAAAATACAACAAAACCAAAAAATCGCTGCGCCAACAACATGAGGATGTATAAAAGTTACTATTTTTGCTGAGAAACAAATGGTAATAACTCATAGTGCATTTAGTGCCAACCACAGCCACCACACAGGTGATGTGTTGGTCATTTTCAATTTTATTTATTTATTTTTAATTATTTATTTCATTTATTATGAAAAAAACAATACTAACAATAAAATGAGGTTTCTCAAACCGAGAACATGAAAAGGGAACAGAAAGAAGAAAACTTATGTTATCTGCCCCTTTTTAACTATAATGACATTTTTACACTGAAATTACAGTAAGTATAAATTAGCCTATACAAAGTAGTTGCTTGACTGGTTAGCTAACTTGAGTTAAATTTGTAAAGAAAAAAGAAAAAATTAATAGTAATAATAATTCAAAAAGCAAAAGGATTTTTGCACATATACCTATTCAAACATATATACATTAAAGTGCATCGCATGCCCATATGGTCGCACATACGTCATATTTACATATACATATAGATATACACACGTATCCACTACACATACACATACATACATACATACATATTCATACATACACACATGAACATACCTACACACATCTTCTATAGCTTTATTTATTAATTTAATTTTTTATATAATTGATTTGCACGATTCCAGTATTTAATTTTTAATTAGTTTTTTGAAAGTAAATATCGTTTTTGTATCCTTGATTACATTACCTAGCTCATTCCATATTTTAACACCATATATAGAGACACAGCGCTCCTTTATAATTATTCTATGCTTGGGTATTGTAAATAATTCATGTCCTTTTAGTTCATATTTACTCTGTCTTTTTATAAATCTTCTAAGTAAATCTTTAGGAAGGTTTTTTTGTTTGCATTGTACATAAATTTAGAAATATTGTAGTCCACTAGATCATAGAATTTTAATGTTTTTGTTTTTATGAATAAAGGGTTAGATGGATCTCTGTAATTACTCCTTGTTATGATTCTTATTGCTTTTTTTTGCAATATATAGATAGAATTTGTGTAAGTTTTATATGTTGTGCCCCAGATTTCTATACAGTAGATCAAATATGGTGCAATAAGTGAATGATATAATAAATATAGGGAGCTATCATCCAGTGACCATTTTACTCTATGTAACATTGCAATTGTCTTAGCTATTTTAGTTTTCACATTGTTTTTATGTGGCTTCCAAGATACATTTTCATTGATTATAACTCCCAAAAATGTTACTTCTTTTACTCTTGTAATATTAATATCATCTATATTTAATAGACTTGTATCATTTGAGTTACTTTTACTAAATACCATGAAACATGATTTATCAGTGTTTATTCCCATCAAACCATAATTTTA